AGCTGTTTCTTCCTTTTAACTGCCAGTGGGGGTGTGAAGTGATTGAGTGGGAGCTTGGCTGTGTTCTGATTGGGTGGAGGTGTGTTCTGATTGGTTGGGGGTTTGGCTGGGTGTGTATTCTGTTTAGGTAGGGGCTTGGTTGTGCTCGCGTTAGTCTGAGTAGCAGGGGGATTTGAACTGGTGAGCTGTGTTGCTGTTGTTTGGCTTCGTGTTCGTGGCCGTGCCACCGCTTCATGGTGGGTGTCAGTCTGCTTCATGTATGGATTGGGGGGGTTTAAAGGGGCTAATGATGCAGCTGTGGTCTGGCTTCTGGTCCGTGGTCGTGCCTCATCATCAGTGTGGGTTTGAGTCTGCTTTCTGCGTGCATGTGTGGTGGTTACATCCTGTGTGGCTCTCGTGAGTGTGGGTTAGGTGTCATTCTTTGTGTTAGGGACTCGTTTGTCAATAAGGGCGGGTTTCCAAATGGCTGGTAGGCAGGAGGTATCATCTCGTTTATTCATGCTGTGTGGACGTTTTTCTATCTCGATGGCTTCTCTGATTATTCTGTTGTTAAAGTGTTCAGTTTTGGCGATAGTTCTGGTCTTTTTAAAGTCAATATCATGTCCTGTGGCTTTGAGGTGTTGGACCAGGGAAGAAGTTGGTTCCTCTTTTCTGACTGAGTTCTTGTGTTCTTCAATGCGTGCATTTATTCTTCTGTTGGTTTGTCCAATTTGAATATTTTTATTGTTTTAAAATGTTTTTATTTTAATTGTATTTTTTAATTATAAGCCTCCCATAGTCATTGAGATGGACAACTATAGGAATTGAATAAATAAAATTTTTATTGACATATTACAGAGAGCTGCCATATGATTGTTCTATATTTATTGCTAAATTTGAAATGATCGATATCCTTATTTTTATTTATTGTAAACCAGTGAGAGTCACATAGTGCAATCTGGGCATTGTAAAATAAATTCATATAATCTATTTTACATATATTCTCAATCTGAATATATAAAAAATTATTCAGGAGATTTAGTGTCTGCCTGATTCCAAAATGATTCTGGGTGACCTACATAAAAAATAATGGAAAAACAATAAAAAGGCAGTTCAATGCAACATATTTTTCTAATAACAACAAAATCACCAACAGGATGCCATAAACGTCTGACTCAAGGCCTGGACGAGGCTTAATTTTTTCCCCATCAGCATGGAAGTGCGATAGATCTCTGGGTGGATATCATTATCAGATGGCAGATACTGTGACAAAAAAGGCATGTCTTCTGAGTCCTGCTAGATGGCATTCTTTGATTGAAAAATTCTACATGCACCAACTCTGTCCAATCTTACTGGATAGGAAAGAATTATGGATAGGCAATCCCTCAACTAACTTGGCCCTAACAAATAGATAAAGAAGTTGTCTTATTTAACACTAGAAAATAGAAAATTCAGAATATAAATTTGTATATGCAACACAAATATCTAAACACTCATTCAAATGAGTCTTTGGATATGGGTTGCATTTCTTTTGGGGCCCATTGAAGCCTTCATTGCCTTAGATTCTGGGTGAGGCAAATCCTTTGGGAAATTTTCTTGATCCATGATATCTTGAATAGGTTCAAATCAATAAAGATACAGAATACTGTGGTTTTGATCAGAAAAATCCTTTACATTATTAACTGTTTCAGGCTTGTCTTGTAACCATTATATATTTTTTAAGCTGCAGCATTTGATATATTTTTATAATTTTCTTGGATCATACCAAATGAACTGAATATATTCAGAGCTTAACCGCCATCTAATATGGATTTTTTAATTTGAATTCCCAAACAGCTGTTGGTTGGACCCAATGGCCTGAGTGATCCCTTCCAAGTCTATGATTCTATGATTTTGTTTCAGTAGGACTTGCATTATAAATTCAGCAGTTACCATTATGCACTTGATCCATATTTAGTTGGAGGCAGCTCGCTTAGTAATGATCTACTGTTTGCAGGCTAAGATAGTTCAATGGTAATTCAAAAAGGGAATGTGATGAGACATCTTCATGAATGTGTAAGAATCCAGTTTTAGCTGTGACTGAGCACTTTGTGAACTTGTAGATCTGAAAACCATAATACTGGTTTGACAAGACAACTTAGAATTGGTGGTTGGATAGTACAAAGCTGCTATAATCCCACAAATAAGAGCAGAAATTCTCACAAAATCATGAGCGTGTCTCATCACATTCCCTTCATGACCTGAGGTGATGGGCAAGTTAATTGCATTTTGAAGCAGGACTTGTCTAGCAACTGGAAGAGTTGGAATTAGTCTGGTCTTATCTTGCCTTTACTTTAGAATGCTTTGAAACTGAATTTTAATGCTTAATATTTCTACATTCTAGAAATAGCAGTTCTTATATATTATTAGTAGGTTTAATGTTAAATTGTAAAGCAAAATAAACAACATTGAAAACTTTAAATTGGCTCCATATGCTTCGTTGTATAATGGCGTAAACACATAGTTCAAATTTCTGGGGTTTTATCTCTACCAGTCAAATCTATGAATTGTGTCAGTCATTCCAATGAATAAGCAAATGGAATCTTGTATATTCCTTTAATGCAATTGTAATTTCTTAAAAGACTAAATCATAATATGTATATAATAGTACTATAAAAAAGATGTGGGTAATTTTCCCACTAAAGTTAGTATAAACCTAATCAAGAAGCCTTGGTACTACAGTGGTTTAAAGCACCCTGTTATTAACACAGCTGCCTGCAATTTACTGCTGGTTCGAATCTCTCCAAGGCTCAAGGTTGACTCAGCCTTCCATCCTTTCTAAGGTAGGTTAAATGAGGACCCAGTTTGTGGGGGCAATAAGCTGACTTTGTATAAATATACAAAAGGATGAAGGCTATTGCTGAATGCACTGTAAGCCGCCCTGAGTCTCCGGAGAAGGGCGGCGTATAAATCAAATTAAAAAAAAAAAAAAAAAAGAACTAGCAAAAGTTGCATCTAGCCTAATGATGGCTTAAATTGCACCTAGCCTAATGATATCCTAATAGATTGTGAATACGTTTTGTGCAATATTTGAATCACAGTACTTAATACCTGCAGATAATTCTTATTTAACTGTTGTGTTAGTACAATACCATCACTATATAATGTAATGGTATTGTATTAACATAAGGGTTAAATAAGTGATGTTATTATAACCACTTCACAGTGGTGAAGTAATCTGGATGGACAAGCAAAGGCTATTTATACTAAATAGCCTTGGTGGCGTAGCAGACTAAAGCATTGTTAAGTAATACCAGCTGCCTGCAATTACTGCAAGTTCAAATCGCACCAGGCTCAAGGTTGACTCAGGCTTCCATCCTTTCGAGGTAGGTAAAATGAGGACCCGGATTGTGGGGGCAATAAGCTGACTTTGTATAAAAAAGAACACTGCTTGGGGGTGGGGGGCGAAAGCCCTACCAAGCAGGTATATACAAAAGTATGAAGGCTATTGCTTAACGCATTGTAAGCCACCCTGAGTCTCCGGAAAAGGGCCGCATAAATAAAGGGCCACGTAAATAAATAAATAAATAAATAAATAAATAAATAAATAAATAAATAAATAAATAAATAAATAAATAAATAAATAAATAAATAAATAAATAAAGTTCCACAGTGAAACTATGACATAATAATTATGTCATAGAAGAAATCATTGTTCAAAATATATTTCTGAACGTATCCTTATGAGATGTTTGATAGATTCAGTTCCGATTTTCCCATAGAGGAAAATGCTATCAGAATACCTGATTCTAATTAACCTTTTTCTTGAATATTAAATTTCTTATATAGAAAATTGATGTTTTTTTCAATACAATGCATCAAATAATGGGAACAGTATTATTCAGTGTATTAGGGTTGTCAGCTACTTTGGTCTATTTCAGTTTGAGCAATTTCAAAAATGAGGTTATATTTAGAATATCACTTACAAAACAACAAAACAAAACAAATATAGTAAGAGCCTGCTGTATGGTAGACAAAGCATCTCTTTGCCACATTGGTGACCATAGGCACATTAGAGTACAGGGAATCAGAGCAGTAGAATAACAAAAAAATAATTATAAATAAAAATAAATAATAAAAAAGTCAAAACAGGTAGTCCATTAACGAAGAAGATGGCAAGGAAGTAATAGGCAGTACCGAGAAAGCTCTCGCGAAAAGAAACTATAGTCCAACATATCAAAAACCTAACCATAAAGGATAGATTAGAAGTAAAAATTAAAGAAAATGGTCTGATCTTGATGAATATAAGTCACTGGGACCTGACGTATTACATCCCAGAGTTCTGAAAGAGCTAGCAAATGTTGTCTCAGAGCCATTGTACCATATCTTTCAAAAATCCTGGAACACTGGGGAATTACTGGAAGACTGGAAAACAGCTGATGTGGTTCCCATCTTCAAAAAAGGGGAAAAAAACAGACCCAGGAAACTATAGACTAATTAGCCTAACATCAATACCTCGGAAGTTACTGGAAAAGGTAATCAAAAAACAGATCTGAGAACATCTAGAAACAAATGAAGTTATAACTAAAAACCAGCATTGGATTCTTAAAAACAGATCATGTCAAATCAATCTTATTTCATTCTTTGGTAAAGTGTCTAAATTAGTAGACCAGTGAAATGCTATGGACATAAAGTAGTATACTTAGACTTTAGCAAGGCATTTGACAGAATAGACCAAACCTCCTACTTGGTAAACTGCAAAAATGTGGGCTAGAAAGCATCATCACCAGATGGATTTGTAACTGGTACTCAATGAATAGTCCTTAATGGTACTACATCTACATGGAGAGAAGTAAGTAGTGGGGTACCACAAAGTTCCGTCTTAAGCCCAGTACTCATCAATATCTTCATAAATGACTTAGATGAGGGAATAGAAGGGGAACTCATCAAATCTGCAGATGACACTAAGCTGGCAGGAATAGCTAATACCCCAGAAGACAAGCTCAGAATCCAAAAAGATCATACCAAACCTGAACATAGAGCCCTATCCAAAAAAATGAAATTTAATGTGAAGAAAAGCAAGATTTTACACTTAGTCGATCATTTAAAACATGAACCAGCAGGTATGCGTCAACTCATACAATCCTTCGTTGTATCAACAGAGGCGCAGAATCAAAATCATGTGAAGTATTAATGCCACTTTATAAAGCCTTAGTAAGGCCACACCTCAAATACTGTATCCAGTTTTGGTCACCACATTACAAAAAAGATGTTGAGACTGGAAAAAAATGCAAAGAGCAACTAAGATGATTAAGAGTCTGGAGACAAAAACATGAATAACAGTTACAGGAATTGGGTATAGCTTGTCTAGAGCAGAGGCCCTCAAACTTTAAACAGGGCCAATTCACAGTCCTGCAGATTGTTGGGGCCCGGACCGACTGGGTGGGCATTGCTAGATCATGTGACTAGGTGGATGTGGGCAATTTAACAGTCCATTAATGCACACAAATTAAACTTTGTTTTGCTCTTGGAGTGTTTTATTTGCTTTTGTTTGCATGTTGTTCTTTTGGTTGACTTTTCTTTTTACTAGATCATTTTTTCAGTTGTTTAGGAGTCTAGTGGTCCTCTTCAGAAAACTTTTGAATTGTTTTGCAGCAATTCTTCTCAGCTCCAACGAGCTTGCAATCAAGTGTCTCTCACTATGTGTGTGTCTCTTGTTTCTCTCTCTCTTTCTGTTTCTCTCTCTCTGTCTCTCCCTCCCTCCCTCTCTCTCTCTCTTCTGGAGGCAGGGGAGGTGAAAAACAAGCCGTTTTTGCTCGTTTTTTGCCTTCTAGGGTGTCTGTCCGCCCCATTTTTCACCTCTTCCACCTCCAGCAGGACCCACCTTTTGCAGGCCAAAAATTGTTGGCCTTACTTTTCAGTTCCAGCCTGCAGGGCTCGTGAAGGCAAGTCCTGCACTCAGCTGAAGGGTAGGCGGGGCGATGTGGGCGGGGCAGCCTCATGGTCCTATGCGGGCCAGATTAATGGCTTCGGTGGGCTGCATGCGGCCCACAGGCCGTAGTTTGAAGACCATGGTCTACAGAAAAGAAGGACTAGCGGGTGACATGATAGCAGCATTCCAGTATTTGAGGGGTTGCCACAAAGAGGGGGTCAACTTATTTTCCAAAGCATCAGAGGGCAGGAGAAGAAACAATAGATGGAAATCTTAGGTTTGGTTTGTTTGTAGTTATACAGTTGTATATTTATCTCAGTACATTTATATATCCAGAATTATTAAAAGAAAAGAATTAAACAAACAAATATTTGGTGGTTGGAACAGATTCTCTAGTGTAAACTAATATAAGATGCTCTTGAGTAACTAACAAAATGAAAAAGAATAGCAACTTTATATAAAAATGTGAGTCAATCCAAATTTATACATTTTAACATGCTTATCCAAATTAGATAGTTTATCAAAGCTCTACACTTTTAAGTAACATATATCATTATATTGGAATTATCCAAATTTTAGGAACATAATTAATGTATTTAATATTTTTCTATATCAGAATCTATACCAAATTTGGAATAATTAGGAATTATCAACATTATTTTTTATCAAAATTTCATTTTTAAAAGCTAAAGTTTAAGTAAATTAAAAATTACAAGAAGCAGTTGTACTATACTTCTATTAGTTTAGTTTAATATTGTGAATGCAATTAATTGTCTACTATAAAATTACAGGTAAACAAAAATGTTAAAATATGACACAAGTGTTTTTTAAAAACTGACATTCCAGAACCAAGATTTAAGACACTAAAATCTTCATTCAATTTTTAAAAAAACTTCTTTTATAGATTAAAAAATTTAACTTGTATTTTAAAATTTGAAAGAATATGCAGGAGATGCAATGCATGATTATTTAGCATCTTTCTGAATTGTTTCCCTCTGTATAGGTATTCAGAGAATTGCTTTCTCAATTAATTAAAAAAAATCATATCCTTTTTCCCCTTGATATATTTTTTTCATTATTTTCAAGAAAACAAAGTAATACAGAATTTCACTGCATTTCATATTAACGAAGTCTGATTGTTTTCAACAGTGATACTGAAAATACGAATCTTGAGAGTTTTTTTTATACTATTCATTTACTTCTAAAAATATTTTGCCTGGAAGTTGTTGTTTCATCAGAAGATTAATTTAATATTTAGAGTTCACTCAATGTTATAATTATCTCGAAACAATCTTCAGTCTCTTTTAAACTTTGTCTAAATAGCTGTGCATGTTGCCATGCAATATTGCCATCTCCGCCACTTAGTACAGCTTCTAACATAACATTTGTTGTGTTGGAGATATCAGGATAAAAGCGAAGCCTTTTATCTATGAAATGGAAACAAAAAAATCCTGTTAAAACAATTGTAATAACAATACACACACACACACACACACATTTGCTTACATAGAACAGCCAAGAGAATACATATCAGCTTACTATCTTCTCATGTATTTAAAAAGGCTTGTGCATTCTCTTTTCTACATTCTTTTTTTGACTAGTACACATATTACATCTGATGTAAAGTACTTGCATTTGGAAACTGGCATGTGTATGGTAATACTGTTCCAAAAATGATTTTAGAAAATGAGTTTAACTAGTTGCCATAGTCTCCATAGCAGGAAGTAACTTAGAAAATGCAAAACATACATCCTTAAAGAGGATCAAGTTGCACTAATGGACATTAATAAAAAAAGATTTGAGAAAAAAAATTCATGAAAACTAGAAAAATGTTACAGAATGTCCCTAGCAATTTCTAAGTTTCTGTACAATTAATTAAAGAAAAAGGTTTCAAATGGGGAGAAGAGGGTCAAAGAAAGTTCAGAGAAAAAAAATTGTTTTATAGCACTACAGGTAGTCTTCGAGTTACGAATGTAATGGAGCTTGCCAATTACATTCGTAACCCAAGGATTTGTAGGAGTGAATTGCATAACTTGACCGCAATCACTCCATGCTTTTACCTATGCATTTGTTAATTAAATGTGCAGGTCGTTAAGTGCACATGAGGTATCTCAGGCTGGGGAAGTCCATAGGGCCTGTAGGCCACCTGCTTCAGACCACCCAAGGCCTCTCCCAACCCCCTGGGATACCTCATGCTCCGTTCCCTGGGCTCCCCACAATTGGTCTCTCTCCCATCCTTCTACGCTGGATCACTTACCTTTTGGAGATCTGTCTCCTCTCTGCCACAATTTCTTTATTTGCATGCAGTCTCAGTGCGAAAAGGTTTGCAAGCCAATGGGAGGCTTCAAGCAACTCGATTTCACTGCCCCAAAGTCTCGTCGGCTTGCAAGCACTCTTTGGCTGGATCTGATATAGGCCTCAGTTCACAGAGAACAGAGGCCTAAATTATTGTAGTGTGAGATCACGCAAAATCAGTAGTGAGATCAGAGCAAAGGCTTCTTCATAATCTCTCACTACTTTAGAATTCTGTTTTCTGCAAATGCATAGACGCAGGCAAAGATACTGATGGCTTGCTAGATCATTGCAAGGTAAGTAAGTCTCCACAGGCTCAATGGCTTTGAAGACCCAATGGATGGGGTGGGGTGGGGGGGAAAATAGGCAGGGTGAATGATGCAGTACCTCTGTCATCATTTGTAAGTGTAAATGACGGCTGTGGTCTACAACATTTCTAACTTCAGGACTGGGTTGTAAGTACTTGAGGGGGGCTAGACCATAACTTCAAATGGTCACTAACTGAACTGTCGTAACTCAGGAATTATCTGTACTTGGAAATACTTGTTAAGTGAATCACTGCAGTTGTTAAATTAGTAACATGGTTGTTAAGTGAATTGGCTTCCTGATTGATTTTGTGAAGTCACAAAAGTGATCAAGTGACCCCCAGGAGACTGCAAACATAAATATGAGTCAGTTGCCAAGTTTCTGAATTTTGGTCTATGACCAGGGGGGATACTGCAGTGGTTGTGTGAAAAACAATTGTAAATCATGTTTTTCAGTGTCATCATAACTTTGAATGGTCACTAAATAAATTGGTATAAGTCAAGGACTATTTGTATAGAGTAGCATGGATTTTGCTATGCTTACAACCACAGAGATGCTGCAGCACCCTATGCCTTTTTCACCCCATCTCACCCACTGGGTCCTCACAGGGACTACGCCTGCTTTTGGGTTTCACACACACTTTCCCAGCTCCATCACCAATTGCTCACTTATCTTTTATGATAGATCTCCTTCTGAAACCTCTGCAGATCACACTGAGAAAGAATAACAAAGTGTTCCATCCCTAAATCACCTGGTCCAGAGCAAGCACCCTTTTTGGAGCAGGCCAGAGCAGCATGGCCTAGGAATGGAACAGCCTCTCTTCTGCAAATCCTTTCTTTCTAGCCCAGGCATGCTAGAAGCTCTGGGAAAATCAACATTTTTAGGTCAAAATCTTCAATTTTTCTTTGGGCACGAGAGGCTAGAAGCTGCAGGAAAGCGATGTTGGGACAAAGTTCTCCTACCTTTGTTTCCATCCTCGCAGCATCTAGCCTATTTTTCTATCCCTTTATAATCTTTTCCCAATGCTTTTCATTAGATAGACAGACAGACAGCTGCGCAGCAGGCATGTGAGCAAGCAAGAAGCATTGACGAAGAAGAGATATGTGCAGTTGCCTTTGTCAGTTCCGCAACTATCATATCCAGGACAAAAGACAGCAGCAGAACCAGCAAAGGTAACCATGTCCAGCGTCATCCTCCAATGCTTCTCACTCAAAGGTTGGTGTGTGGTGTGCATACAAATGAGAAGCACTAGTGAAGAAAAACAAGCTGCTTTTTTTAAAGGACACATTCCTCCATTCTAGAAGCGAGCATCATTTTAAAGCACCCTTAATTTATTAGGGCCACTCTGAAAATAGCACTTGATTTTGGGCCACAGTCTGGGGATGCCAAAGACACGACAGCTTGATCTCATTGTTAGTATGATCTATGGAACGTACAGATGGAGATCTATAATAAAAGGTAAGTGAGCAATGGGTAAGCAAGGGGTTTGGTGAGGAGCATGTGAGATAAACATGATGTATTAGCATTGGATACACTATTACCATCACAATCTTAATTTTTAATATTTTTGCACTGGTTGTAAAAAGTTATTAAATATTATATATACCTCCATTAACATCAACTGTAATGCTTCCAGAGTGCAGCGTCCACTTTACTCGTCCACTCTCAAACGTTTGGTTGGTTGTTCTAACTGAAATGTTGTCTATTTTTAGACCAACAGAGCCACATTCAAACTTCCAACAGATGTAGCCAGATGAGAAGCCTTCCTTTCGAACTAAATAAACCTAGTTAGAATGACAAAAAATGTGAATTGCAGCACATTAGTAAAATTACAGATATTAAAAACCTATCTGATTCTGACATGCAGCAATGAGACAGATATGTGCCAAAATATATTCAGATCAAGAGTAAAAAGGTGATAGTTTAGTCCCTTGCTTTGAAAATAGTGTTTGCTACTATCAAACTTAATTAAGAATCTTACATATCTGGAGCTGCACAGCTGATCAAAGATCTCTATACCAGATGTGGTAATCCTCACTTATTAGCTACAGTTGGGACTAGAAGGTTTGTTACTAAATCAAGTTGTCATTAAGTGGAAAATCACATAATCTCCCTATGATTTCCTTTTCTCATTCCGCCTTCTCATTAGAATGCTGGAGACAGTCTGAAAGCACATTTTCTGTCCTTTTCTTGGTCTCCTACCACTTCTCCACACTTGGGAATCCTCATCCTGGTGCTGAGATAAGCATTTGCAATAACTAAATTCATGTCTGTATTTTGCATTGAGGAGGGAGAGATTACCAGACAGTAAACAGGCATACAGTGGGAAATACACATCAAATGGGATGGACTAGGTGTCATTAACATGCTACACAGATAACCCCATATATTCCCCATTATGTGCCTGCTTACTCGCTACCGTGTTTCCCTGAAAATACAAGCTACTCCAAAAACAAGCCCTAGTCAGATTTTCATGCCTGTGCCTAAAATAAGCCTTACCCCCAAAATAAGGCCTAGTTAAGCCACGCCCACCATCTGGTTGTACTAGGTGGAGTAAGGCGCAGCTATAAAAATCAAGCTAGGGCGGGGTGGAGGATGAAATGAGGCGGAGGGCGCGGAGATACCCCCCGCACCGGCTTACCTGAGGGTCCCGCAGCCAGGCCATCAACTACCTCACAACTGCCTGGCTTCACAGCGGCAGCTTCAAAAACCCCATCCAGGAGCCCATGTGATTGTAGGCCTGCTTCTCCTTGCTTGCCACCACAACAGAGGAGGCTGAGCAACACATGTGAGATCTTAGATGGGGCTGCTGGAGCCGCCGCAAGAGAAGGCAGTTGTCAGGATGTTAATGGCCTAGCTGCAGGGCGCCCAAGTAAGCCAGTGCGGGGCACCTGAAGAGCTTGAATCCACACTTTCAGCACCATTTGGTTTCCCACCCCACCCCCACCAGACTGGTCTGGTCTGGTGGGGGGGATTGCATTCCGCCTTTTCCGGTGCACCACAAATGGGGATTGACCATCCCCCAAGCCCCACCGTACCCACCCAGGTAAATATTGGGCACTGTGCTGCAATGGATAGATAAAAAGCACAGCTTTTGTCTGAAGGAAGAGCAGGAGCAGGAGAAGAAAGAGGGAGAGCAGCCGAATGAGAAATGTCCCGCCGGTCAGGCACTGAAGCGCCATCATCACCGGAGAGAGAGAGAGGGGGAGGGAGGGAGAGAGCACGCGCAAGAGAGCGATCCAATCCAATCTGTGTGTGTGTGTGTGTGTGTGTGTGTGAGAGAGAGAGAGAGAGAGAGAGAGAGAGAGAGAGAGAGAGATCTGATCCAACTTCAGAGAGATACCAAGGCTGGCAGCAGTGTGATCTCTCTCCTACACAGACACATACACAGATAGATGTTTGATCAGATTGTTCTCTCGCTCTCTCACCCCACCTCATGGCGGCGGCACCAGCCATGCTCGCCACGGCAGCCTGCAGCTGATCTGAGGCGTGCAGGCCAATGCCCTTTGGGCGCCTCCCTCCCTCTATCTCTTGCTGTAGTCGGCGTCTGCACAGTCGTTGCCTCTTGTACATGCATGGGAAGGCGGGACGTCTGGCCAGCCCAGGCCTTGTGATAAAAAAAAAAAAAGACCTCCCAGAAAATAAGCCCGAGTGCTTATTTTGGGGCCCAAAAGAAAATAAGTAATCCTTTCTTTTCCATTTTCTCTACTCTCTGAGGAACAAAATAAAGAAGAAGAAAAAAACAGGTCAGGTATAAAACAACATGTATTGACTGTAGTTATTACATCACTATCATGTAATAGTGATCACATGTCTGAGGAATGCTGCAAGGGTTATAAATGTGGGCATTGCTTATAAAGTTTTTTTCCAGTATTGTCATAACTTCAAACAGTTGCTGAATTATGCAATCACTAAGCAAGGACCTGTATCACTTTCTAAGTTGGATGGAGCTATGTGTATACACAGACAAGTGTTAGATCAGGCTGTTTATTTCAATTATCTTTTGCTACCGGTACTTATGGTGACTATTGAAAATGCTTTATTCATGTTTAATCTACCAGTCCTCTTTCTGTGTTCTATTTGGATATGTCAACTGTTTAATTTCTTCACAAAACTAAAAACAGGTAGAATCTTAAATGTCCAAACTTCTAACAGCAGTAATAGTTATACCAGTTCTTTCAGAGGGAGGTCATGCAAGCTACATTGATAAAGAAATGTTTTACAATAAGGCATACAGTGCTTTGGACTTGAAGGCATGCAGTGCTTTGGACTTGAAGGGATAAAAGTGCTTTGGAGCATCCTTATCAATAGCTTCTCAAAACAAATGTTTATTTAGTAAAGTCTTACTGCAGCTGCAGAAGATATCCATTAGATACCCAGAAAAGATGGAACTGTTCTAAGGAGTTGCCAACTGCTGCCATGTGAGCATCCCTGCATGCACATGCCAAGCACCTTTTCTTTTTAAATAGGAGTCGTGTGCAGCCCTATTTTAGAATAACGTTTTTTCTACTTACCATTTTCCAATCTGATTCAATTTTTCTCCATAAAGAGTCCATTTTCCAAACACCATTCTCCCAACCATTGATTTTTTCATTATTATTTGATATCCGCGTGTAACAATCTTCCACTATATTATAGTTGAGGTGAAAAAGCTTGGAGGCTTTCTCTTTTACAGTTGGAATAAATACTACTTCTTTAGTCTAAGTAATCAAACCCAAAACTGAAGTTAAGTTTTTTGTCAGATATCACTAATGAATAATATGTATGTGATTCAAACATTTTATATAATATACAGTCATGTGAAAAAGAAAGTACATCCTCTTTGAATTCTATGGTTTTATGTATCAGGATATAGTAAAAATAATCTAGTCCTTACCAGTATTTAAAAGTAAGTAAATGCAACCTCAGATAAACAATACACATGACATATTATATCATGTTATTATTTGTTATACAAAAAGAAAGCCAAAATGGAGAAGCAGAAGAAGGAATAAATTCTGTATGGCTTTCTCAGGTATAAGGGTTTTTATTTTTTGGTATGGATTTCTCAGGTATAGGGTTTGGGGTTTTTTACTAGATCGGTACATCACAAAATTTTTAAAAATGTAAAAACAGAAAGGCAAATACATTCAGATTCTCATATTAATTTGGGAAATGAGGTTTAAGTTAGTTGATATTAACAGATGAAGCACACATTTTGCTAGCATGCCTAAAAGCATGATTGTACTTAACAGTACTTACATTAATACTATTAATTAATACAAATTAATATTATTTTTAAAAATGCTTTGTATTTTAGTTGCTTATAATTTTAGTCTTCCATTAATAGGAAGTTGAATCCAATCAAAAGAATAAAATAAGTCTGCTTTTCTTTGTTCAAGTAGAAACTATTTGCTGTTGAAATTTTGATTCTAATTTACTCTAGGCGAGACTAAAACAAATCGAAAAACTGAATTACAATTTTGGTCTGAAATAAATAGGAGAAATCTTTGGTAACTAAATAAAACCAACAAAATATAATCACAATTTTCTTTGAACATACACCAAACCAACAAGTGACTATTAGGCTTATACTAAAAATTCTAAAAATTGCTGCTAGATGCTATAAATACCTCTAAAGCAATTTCATCTCTGGCAACTCTCCAAGCCAATGATCCAGACACTCTTCCACCAAGTTCTCCTGGCTTTGGTGTTTTTGGAGAAATAAACTCAACAAGCTCTACAATGAGTCTCTGTAAGAGCTCGTGTTTTCTTCCCTCACTCAATATTTGCTGCCTCTAGAATCAATGACAATAAAATTACACCAGAATCTTATACCTATGTACTCAAGAGGCGAATATTATCAGGACTGAAGGATTAGAATCTGAATTTCATTGTAATAAATCATAATATAAAAATAATGTATGATAATTTATTTTACATAATCTTAGATATCAGCTACAATTTCTATCACATTTATTTATTTATTAAATTTATATGCTATTGAATTATTCACACAGAACATATAACAAAATTAATTTTAATTAGCATTAATATTAAAGCACAGTTAAATATGAAGATTAAAAAAGTGGGAAAAATTTTAACAGTGGTTTAAATCATGCTGTAATGTAGAGTCAGATAAATTGAGTGTTTCATTTATAGGTGTAGTTGTCAACATATGACCGGTCATTTGAAGATTGTTCAGTTACTGACTTAAAAAGATACTTACGATCCATCCTTGAAGTTATGATTGTCACCAACCTTCTCCCTGCAGTAATATAACTGTATTCCAGGCACTTGACAACCTGCTTGCATTGATGCTGGTTGCAGTGTCCCACGGTCATCTGACTGACATTTGGAACATTTTGGGCCATTTTCTGTTATGTGTTTTTTTCTGACTATTATTTCCAGACAAAAATGCTCCCTCACTTAATAAATCTGTAATTTGCTTAATCACTACATGATTTTTTTAATGACTGCAGTGTCTCACTTAAGAACTGTTGTAAAGATGGTTGTAAAATTGAATCCGATCACAGTGCCTCCACATATGACTGAAACAACTTTAAGTGAAATCCCGGTCCAAATTGTGATTTTAAGTTAATTCTTTTGCAAGCATGCCTATAGGTAATCCCCAAATTACGTCAGTTCATTTAGCGACTGTTAAAAGTTATAACCTATTTCCCCACCCACCCAGTATTTATGACCATTACAGCACCACATCCATCACTTATGACCAATGGCAGAGACGCTGCAACATTTAATCTGCCTATTCCCTCACCCCACCCTGCCAGAATTTACCTTGCGACAATCTAGCAAGCGATCAGTTCCTTTGCCTGCTTCAGTGCATTTGCAGAAAACAAGAGACTTAAAGTAGTGACAGATCATGCGAAATCAATAGCTTTTGCAAAGCCTTTTGCCCCGAATGTACAGACCTCAGATCGTAGAGAACAGAGGCCTAAAGTGCTATAGTAAGAGATCAATAGTGTGAAATTTTGTGCTACTGATTTTGCATGATCTTGCACTAAAATAGTTTAGGCCTCTGTTCTCTGCAAACCAAGGCCTGTACCACATCCATCTGAAGAGCATTTGCAAGTTGACAAGTCAACTTTGGGGCAGCCAAATCATCTTGCTTCAAGCCTCCCATCAGCTTGCAAATGCCTCTCACACCATTCCAGTCTCAGTGCGAAGAGCGTTTACAAGCCTATGGAAGGCTTCAAGCAAGACAATAAGACTTTGGGGCAGCGAAATCCCTTGCTTCAAGCCTCCCATAATGCCTTTTGCTACATCCCAGTCTCAGCGCAAGTCGCTAGGAGGCTCAAAGCAAGGGATTTCGCAGCCCCTGAATCTTCATGCCAAGACTGCAAGCAGGCAAAGAAACCGCAGGAGAGTTTCTGGAGTCAGATCTTCACAAGGTGAGTAACCTGGCACAGCAGGATGAAGGGAACAATTGTGGAGACCCCCCTGGAAGGAAGCGTGAGGTATCAGAGGGGGTTGGGAGAGGCCTTGGGTGGGTGAAACAGATGGTCTGTTCCATTGCTAGGCCCCCATGGCCTTCCCCACCCTGAGATACCTTCATATGCATTTAACGACCCACGCATTCAATTAGCAAATGCATAAGCGAAAAGCAGGGAGTGATCGCAGTGATCACTATCGAGTGATAGGCATTACATTCATAACTTGATGACTGATGAATTCCTATGTATGTCTATTTAAAAAGTAAGATCCCATTGAATTATATAGGATTTACAGTATTTCTTTTTAAGTATTATGATTGGGGTTATAAAGCACAGAAGTCCATTACATCTAACTGTTTTTAAAAGTTTTAACATTAAATTGGATTTATGCTATTTGAAAACTTTATTCTCTGGTTGAATTTGTTCTGTATTGTAATGAAGAAAAAACATTTTAAAAAGTATGTTGGATGGATAAAAAATGTTATTCCATACAATTGACTTACAATCACAATTGGGACTAGAATTTCTGTCATTGACTGATGTGGCCATAAAGTGTGGTGTCACGTGACCGCACCTCTTAGGAATGGCAATCATGACATTCACCGATGCCATTGTTAAGCAAATTTCACCAGTTAGGTAAGGACCTTCTCCAAAATAAGTCATTCCAGTCTTGGTTCCCCCAAGTCAGGGACTGCCTCCCCTTCAACTCTCCACAATTGCCTATTCCCCGTATTTCTGCCCTTTTGGTTGGTCTACATTCCAAGGCAGCAAGATATCCTGCATTCTGCTATCCCAGTTGGTCTTCATTAAGGTCCTTCATGAGGTAGCTGTTGACCACATGACACCATCTTCACCAGGTCTTTTGGGAAAATTGCCATGCAAAATGTTGTGCAGCGAGCAAAGAACATGCTTGGTTAGCAATGGGAGTAAGCAGACAGCAAAGATTAGCTAAGGGAGTAGGGGCCTTGAAGTTCAGGGGTCTGAAAAAGCATAGATGGGAATAAGCTGAAGTTCCAAGTGCCCAAATTTTGATCATGTGACCAAGGGCACTGCAACAGCAATAACATCAGACACTGGCTGTAAGTCCCTTTGTTCAGCACCACCACAACTTTGAATGATTACTGAACAAATTGTCCTAAGTCTATGATTACCTACATGATTGTCTGCCCTTGGAATATAAGAATTAATGTTGTGAATAAGACAATATTTGATAGTTTGGTTAAAAAGTTTAAATTCCTAAACACATGTTTTGTCCTACTAAGCATTACACAATTTCAGTTATAACAGAAAAGTCTGTACTAAATTAGATCATTGATGAATCAATTTAAATCACATGAGCCTTCAACATATCTATATACACACAGAGCATACTATTTGTAATAAATTTAATAGCTGAACATTTCAGAGAGGAGAAAATAGTTACTATGAGGACCCAGATTGTTGGGGGCAATATGTTGACTCTGTAAATTGCTTAGAGGGTTGTAAAGCACTGTGAAGCAGTGTATAAGTCAGTGTATAAGTCTAAGAGCCTTGGTGGTGAAGCAGTGTGTAAGTCTAAGAGCCTTGGTGGTGCAGTGGACTAAAAGTGCTGTTAAGTAGCATTTAGCTGCCAGTTGCCTGCAATTACTGTGAGTTCAAATCTCACCAGGCTCAAGGTTGACTCAGCCTTCCATCCTTCCGAATAGGTAAAATGAGGACCCGGTTTGTGGGGGCAATAAGCTGACTTTGTATAAAAAACCGCTTGGGGGGGCCAAAAGCCCTACTAAGCAGGTATATACAAAAATATGAAGGCTATTGCTTAACGCATTGTAAGCCGCCCTGAGTCTCCGGAGAAGGGCGGCATATAAATTGAACCAATAAATAAATAAATGTTATTGCTATTGCTATTTTCATGAAAGCTACCTCTATTTTTTTTTTTTTTTTACTGACAATCCTTTGAAATAAAAAGAGAACAGCCATTATCTTCAGAGAACAACACAGACTCCAGCAAGACTTAAAAGAGTTATAAAGAAATCCAAAATTGCAATACCTGCCAAATTGGGTAAATCTGAAACACATATAGGCAAATAATATCTGCTAAGTAGGTATCTTTCTCCAACTAAAATTCCACAGGGACAGGGAAGCTTTAAAAATCCAGGAAATTTACATGAGAAAAATCAAGGCCCTTGATAAGGACTTGCAGGAAAAGAAATAAAAATCTGACTCTGAAACAAAATCTGTAGAGAATGTTTGCTACAACAGGCTACAAGTCCATGTAGTCCTCTTACTTTTTTCAAAGAGTTCTATGTTCAATTATGCAGCAGCTTATCACTTATATGGGGAGGTGTGCAATTTTTTTCTTGCCATCATTTATAATTTACATGCAGCTAATTTTTCATTCAGAAATAGCACATGTATCTAGAGTGATAAGTCTGTTACCTCCTCTAATTAACTGAAGAGCTACAGGTTACATTTTCAATCTTTGATTCAAGATGTGTTTGAATTCAACTTTTCTGTAAATTTAACAGGTAAGTTAAAACTACATACAATTTTGTTAAGATTATTGATTGTTTCTCGTAGCACAGTTTCTTTGACCTGTGTCCTTCTAGAAAGCAATTCTTCATGTTTACAAGAGTAACGCCAGGTGACATCAACAACCTGAAAAGCACAAATTATGAAACAAAATACTTTATACAGCATTATTGAGAGAAAATAGACTGAATTTCAAGCATGTTATGATTAGAACTATTCCAATGAATAAACAATATCCTCCTTGCTGTGCAGGTATACGACTGCTTTATCAGAACCAATGCTATAGCTATAGCTACTGGAGGTCTATTTAATTCAGTAAACATTGTTCACCTACTTCCTCTTTAGAAAAGGCAATAATATACGACAATTTTTTCCCCCATCCAATCTCATACAAAAGGGGTTTATCACAGACATTTTCACAAGAGTCGCAATGAAGCCATCTTTGCTGTGATACAGAATAAACTTCAGTCCATACATGATCTGAGAAAAAAAAAAACACAATAGAAGCAACGAGCCTTAAAAAAGAAACTTATCAATTTTAGAATGTTAAACTCCTCAAAGAAAGGTTTTTTTCTTTTTACACTTCAGTTAAATTCATTTGCTTATTGATTTAAATATATACTCTCCAGTGGTGAAATGTAAACATTTGTTACTACCGGTTCTGTGGGCGTGGCTTGGGGGGGGTAATATGACTGAGGGCATGGTCAACTTTTTTTTTTAAAACTTTTAAAACTATTTTTTCTACAACCTCTTCGGCTGAAGTGATTGTAAACAAAATGCTTTTAAAAGCCTCTGACGATCCCAGCTGACTTGCCTGATCGGCAGAGGCTTTTTTTTTTACTTTTAAAAGCATTTTTTCGGCCAGAGGTTGTAGAAAAAATGCTTTTAAAAATTAAAAAAAAGCCTCTGATGATCGCGGGGCTCAGCTGGGCGTGGGGGGGCAGGGATTTTAGCTACCGGTTCTCCGAACCTCCCGCCTCGATTGCTACCGGATCGGGCGATCTGGTCCGAACCGGGAGCATTTCACCCCTGATACTCTCCTCATATTGCTTTACCAAGATCACTTACAGAAAAAGCATGTCTAATTAGTGATTTCTCCTGTAAGTCAGTTTATCAGACTGTAATTTCTCCTGTAAGTCAGACTGTTTAGAAAGATTAGACAAATACATAAATAAAGGTATTAATTATAGTATTAATCTCTCCCTCTCTCCCTCTTTTTGTTCCTTGCTCTATACATTAATAGATTTCAGGATGTGGTACAATTAATAAAACTGTATTTTTTGATAAATTGGTAAGTTTGTTTTCCTAAGTTTGTTTTAGCTAGATGATGTTCAAAAAGAATGAAAGACTTCTAAATAAACAGACTGACTAAACAACAGTTATGGCAAATAAAAGCTTATTTTCTTTGTACCACATTCCCAAGATTCCAAAGCTAGAGCTCCAACTACCATATATGAATGCCTTTTTGGTTCTTTTAATAGTGGGGGAGTTGATAGTCCAATGGTGAGTTGCCCCCTGTTCGGACCAGTTCGCAAGAACTGGTAGTAAAACTGGTGGGAAGCTCCGCCCACTGTCCTGGACATCATCAGGAAGCTTCTGCGCATGCGCAGAAGAGTGCGTGCACACGTGAGTGAAGTGAGCACACATGGTCCTGTTGCAAAGCTGTAGTAAAGGTAAGTAGAACCCAGCCCGGTGGCAGTCCCCTCAATAGCTGAATATAAAGGAATATCAACTCAAGCCTCAGATTATAGACTTCTCACTCTGTGTGTGTATGTGTATGTGTGCAAACTCAGAAAATTCAATCTTCCTGCTTTTCAACCTCAACAATAAACCTGTGAGGTAGAATTGGTTAAAAATGTTCGCAGTAAGTTCTGTGGATGAGGTCTCAACTTGGATATCCCCAGTTCCTATCCAATTCCCTTAATTATCACGCACTGTTTACTAAGTATAGACCAACTGTCTGCTTCCTTCTTAGGTCTAATCTTTTGGTGAAAAAGCTATTTTTACTATCCTAATTCAAAATTTATAATTCTTCCTTTGTCTCCAAAATAATTTGACTTCAGAAACTCTCTTAGTCAAGGGACTTCTGCTGGCACCGCCGACGTTGCTGGACGCTTTTTCTTGGAGCACCAGCCCTGTGAACTTGTTAGCCGTTCTGACAGCATAAATCAGCTGTCCGACGGCTGGAAAATCTTTCCCTCAGGAGAAGAGGGAAAGGAGAGCAATCGGATGGGGGTAGAGCTCCCCAAAAGCCCCTGAAATAGCTTTGGGGGCTAGGAGGGTGAGAGCTCCCCAGGAAATCCGGTGAAACTCCGAGATCCAGGGCACTTCTACTTTAAGCAGAAAAAAACGTCGCGACCATCTCTGCGATCTTTATTGAGGTCTAAGTTGTTTATCCACGCAGACGGAGTGAAGACAGGAAAGCAGAGAATCGCAAGTAACAAGCCCTTAATTCCATGCTTAAATTGTTACTTTGAAGTTGATTGAAGCAAGGAAGAAGATGGTGCTTAATAGGGCATGAAAGTGAAACTTAACTCTTTTTGAAGCTGTTAACATCCAGCATTGTTCAAGGCGATTGGAGAAAAAGAAAAGAGAAATGGCTGGCTTTGTTGAAAATCTTGAAGATTCACTATTACAAACATCACTAAAGACACAAATACTAATTGGGGATCTTTTTAAAGAAATATTAGAATCATTTACCACTGTGATAGTGGAGAGAATAGAAGAACTTTTTAAAAAGGATTTTATTCAAGTTCGAAACAAAGAGACAAGCGAAGACATTATATCAGAATTGCAGATGCTAAATAACAGCGAATTGCAGAACGAAGAGGTGAAGGAAATTCAGTTCAATATGCCTCCGGGAAATGGAATGGATGTTTTTCAAACTAAGAAGGAAAGGTTGAGGGGCTTGAAGGAGCGTAATCAGGAAATACTGTCTGAGATTTCCCCAAAGGCTTTGTTACAGTCAATTGGAAAATTGTCAGGAGGTGTTGGGATTCTTAATAGAAGAAAGAAGATTCGAAGTGGAACTTTACAATTTTTATACAAAAATGGATTCTTAATCGCAGTTAAGGAGATGTGTTCACTGAGAGGAACTATTTTGCGAAGAGAACAAGATGAAGGTGGAGGAATAAGACTGAAAAAGAAAGTGCATAAAAAAGTTAGGAAAAAATGGAGATGGAAAAATTACAAACTTTTTGTTGGGGGAGGATAGTAACAGAAATGAATGATTATACCTGAATTTAGGGATATGATTTGTTTTGAAAAGTTATACTATACTGAAAATGAATGATTTACTTATATTTAGGGATATGATTTGTCTAGAAAAGTTACATTAAATAATGATAGGTTTATATTGTTATGGATTACTGACCAAACTTTTATCATTGTCTTGAAGTATACTAATACTAAAGTTATATGTCAAGGAATGTTTTGTTGAAGAATCTATATATGTTTATGGGTTAAAAATGGTGCAAGGGTTGAGGGAAGGTTTTTATAATATTTTTTAAAGATAAATAGTGAAGATGTTATTTGATTATACATAATAGATTTGTAGAGAACAAGATTAATAAGTTTGTACAAAGTTATTAAGCACGGAATGTTTCCAGGCAGAATTAATATAAGTTTGTGGGGCAAAAAGTAAAAATAAGGTTTTTTACAATATATTTTATTCGAGATTGGTTAAAATATCTTGCTAATGTGTTAATATATGAAAGGGTTGGAGATGTGATGGTTAATTGTATCTGGGTTTTGATTGTGTAATGCTGGAAGAAAGAAGACTCGTTTATTATTGAAGAACGGATAAGATGCTATATCCTGTATTACTCTGGGAAGTCGGGGGGGGGGGGGGGGGGGGGGGGGGGGGGGAGGAGGGAAGGGAAAACATGAGTAAAGAATCTGGAGATTCTTGGAGTTTACGTAACTTTTTTTTTTTTTTTTTTTAAAGAGGCTGTTAATTTGTAAATGTGATTGTACAATCTATATATGGAAAGATGGCAAACGTTCTACGTTTTTCCTGTAAAAATGGTTTTTGTCTTGTAAAACTCTTTAATAATAAAAAAAAGAAACTCTCTTAGTCAAGATGATAAGTGTGTATGTTAGTAATAATAAATGTACTCATAAATGAAAATTTAAGAAGCGACATCAATATATTCTGATGCAGTTTACAATTAGAAACTAAGTGGAATTTAGATAAATAGGACTGCATTAATACTATAAACTGGAAGTCATTAAAATGGCACTTGGTACAGCACTATTGATTAACAATTTCAGAATGCCTATGGAACATTTTGCTTTAACATAAGGTATTCTAAAACAGCTATACCTGTTGCATCCCAAAGGTATCTTGCTTCAAATCCTACTGCTCTACAACAAAGTGTAAAGCAATTGGCCCATTCACCACAACGCCCTTGTCTAGTTTCCAGGAGCTTCTCAGGATTGTTGTATCTGGAAACATAATTGTTTAAATATGAAGTTTTTAGTTACTACTATAAGGATCAAAATAATTCAACAATTATCTTAAATGTTTCCCCATAACTACCGGTATCTAGAACCTATAGCTAGAAATTTTCCATGGCGATGCTTCGCAATTCTTGTCTGGGGATTTCCCTCGCTTCTTGCCAGGAACTGAGAGTGAGCTATGCCTTTAAATTTCCTTTTGGCCACTCCCCCTGGCTCCGTGCTCTCCAGTTTATTTCTCTCAGTTCTTTGTGTAGGAACGTGAGTGTAGCTCTCTCTCATTAGTGAGATCCCTTTTTGTATTATATTTAGATAGTTTTTCTTGTAAATTTTGTAAATACTGTATTTTTTCTTGTACATAGTGTAGATAGTATATTTAGCTTAGGTGAGGGAGCGTGGTACGAAGGAAGGCTGCTGCGATCGCGGCGAGCCTGGAGCTGCAGCCGTGGGCGTCGCTAATTGTTTAGCTGACTGCCCAGGCTTGGAATCGCAGCGAACAGAGTTTTCCCCTCCTGGAGACTCTGACAGCTTTATTGCTGTGCCTGTTGAGCCGCCGGCGAGCGGTTGGGGCTGCTGGTCCGCTGGTTGCCTCACCGCCGCCATTCCGCTCCCTCCGTAGTTGGCGGTGGCATTGTACCTGCCCGGGGCCCCGGGTACAAACTTTGCCTGATCCTTGCCTCGCGGCGCTTGAGGGACTGCTGTTTCTCGCGCCTTGCAGCCAGCTGCTGTTTGCTGGATATCTGCTTCTTCTCGACCGAGCACTTGGAGGCAGCGAGGACTTGGAGCTGCTTTGATACGCGCCAAACAATTTTGCATCTTTGGCGGGCGCTTGAAGGCGAGGCTGCGCTTTCAGGGTCAGTTTGTCCCTGGCGCTTCTTGAGGGCCTTGACTTGCAGACGGCTGTGTGAGTATCTTCCCCCTTCTTATCTGGACTTCGCGCCAAAATTTTTTGGCGCTTTAACGGTACTGGCGGCCATTTTGAATTGGAAATCTAGCTCCCTGGTAGTTTGGGGCCTGGAGCTGGGCCTTAAGCCTCGATTCTCCACCCCTTTTTTCCTTTCAGGCTTGCCTTCTTTGGAATCGCCTGGCCTTCCCCTAACCTACCTGATTGACCCTCATGGCTGACCAGGAATTCTCGTCGGACCCTGAACAGGTTCCCATTGATCCTAGGCCGAAAAGGCCCTCAAAAAAGAGGGCTAAGACAACCTCCTCTATTAGTCAACCTTCCACTGCTGGCCAGCCTGCCTGTGATCTCTCCACAGCAGACAGGGACGAACAGAGGAGACACAAGGCTCTTGAAAAGCAATTTACAAGGGCCCAGAAGCAAGCTGAACTTAGAGGGGCGTTGGTTCAGGAACCAACCATATCACAGCAAGATCTAGGTCCAGATTTGACCTCTCAGACAATGCAAGCCGTGTCCCCTCAGCCCTCTCAGGACTCTGGGTTGAATGATAGGCCGGGCCCCTCAGCAACCTTCACACCCACGGCTGCTGGCCTCCGGCCTCAGGAGAGTTTTGGCTGGCCCCCCCCACCTGGATTTTCAAGCAGTCTTTACGGATGCCCTGGCCAGGGCAATCTCCTCGGGCCTTCAGCAAGGGGGTCCAAGCCAATTTGGTTTTTCTGGCCCTCAGGTGCCAGTACTTCCTCCTCCTCCCCCCCTCCTCCCCCCCTCCTCCTCCTCCCCCTCCTCCTCCTCTTAGGCCAACCACGCCTCAGATTTCCTTAGAGGCTTTTGGTGACAACTCCTCCTCTCAGGACGGAGAGCAGCTGGAGCCGGAATTTTCTGAGGATGAGGACATAGTGCCAGAGAGACCGGCCTTCGCCACCTTGTTTCGGCCCGCCGTTTTTAAAACATTACTCAGGAAAGCTAAGGCGGCCACCAACATGGGCACAATAGTTAACCCGAACCTTCAGGGGCCTTCGGAAGCCCATCCTCATGGTGAACTTTTTGCTGTCCCTGTCCCGGATAACGACTATATTCCGTGTCCTGACTTGTTTAAGGACGTGATCAGGAAGCAGTGGCATTCACCAGGGGTCCTCTCTGCCCCTAGTGGTCACGATAAAAAACTCTACTGTGCTGATCCATCTCTGGACAGTCTCCTTAGTCTCCCCTCGGTAGACCCTCCTGTGGTTAGTCTCTCCTCCTCAGCCGTTCTGTCGTCGGATGCGGTGGAGGTTTTAAAATCTGATGAGCGCAAAGCGGAGGTTTCCTTCAGAAAGACGCACCAGGCCGCGGCTTGGGCGGTGAAAGCTGCGACCTCTGCGTCGTTCTTTAACAGAGCCACCTTGATCTGGCTCCGCCAGTTGCAAGGGAGGTTGCCCCCTGACGATACCAGGCTTAACCACGATCTTAACAAATTAGTGGCTGCAACCGAGTACTCGGCCGACGCATCCCTTGATGCTGCCAGGTTTGCGGCTAGAGCGATGGCTTCCTCCGTTACGTCACGCAGAATGCTGTGGCTTAAACCCTGGAAGGCGGATGCGAAATCAAAATGGAGGCTAGCTTCTGCCCCTTATCATGGTTCCTCTCTCTTTGGGGCAGCATTAGACCCTATTTTAATAGAGGGGAAAGACAAACGGAAAGTGTTACCAGTCACTTTCAATCGACAGGAACGTAGGTTTACCCCTTATAGTCAGCGGCAGCCCTTTCGGCAGGAGTCAGGACCCAGGGGGTCCTACTATAATAGACCATTCTCCCAGGGCTTTGACCGTTTCTCTGGCAGGCAGGGAGGTGGTGACAGGGGACGATTCCAATCAACATCCAGGCGGCCCTTTAGGGGCTCAGGTCCCCGTCCTAGTAGAAGGGGAAAATGACTCTCCCGATCGCTTTCCCATTGGGGCCCGCCTCCTTCACTTCCTGTCCCAATGGGAGACCTCCACTTCCGATCCTTGGGTCCATCGCACGGTGGGAGTGGGTCTGAGACTCGAATTTCGTACCATCCCCAGAAATCATTTTGTTCGCTCCCCAGTGCCCCGTCGCAGGGACAAACTGAACAATCTCACCGCAGAAATACAACATCTGCTTCAGATAGGGGCAATAGAGGAGGTCCCCCCTCTTCAGGAACGGAAAGGAGTCTATTCTATCCTTTTCTTAGTCCCAAAATCCTCAGGTGGGTGGAGGGCCATCTTGAATCTCAAACACCTCAACAAGTTCATCCGGTACAAGAGATTCAAGATGCAGTCCCTCAAGTCCATCTTGGGGTGTATTCGGATGGGAGACGTGATGACCTCAGTCGACTTACAAGAGGCATACTTGCATGTACCGATTCATCCTTGCCACCGCAAGTACCTTCGTTTCACATTCATCAACCGTCACTATCAATACCGAGCGATGCCCTTCGGTCTGTCATCTGCTCCGAGGGTGTTCACCAAACTGTTAGCTGCCGTTGCGGCCACTATTCGGTTGATTCCTGTCCGCATATTATGTTATCTGGACGATATTTTAATTTTGTCAACTTCCCCCCTCCAAGCACAACAGGACCTACAGAAGGTCTGTCGAATCCTGCAACGTCATGGGTTTTCTTTAAACCACAAGAAGAGTCATCTCACCCCGACCAGGTCCATCGTCCACCTGGGAACCCGGATCGACTCGGAGTTGCTTCAGGTATTCCTTTCAGAGGATCGGCAGAGGAACATCAAGGACTTGGTCCGGCATACCCTGTCATTGAGGCAAGTGTCTTTAATAAGCTTATCTCGTTTGCTCGGCAAGTTTATTTCCTGTTTAGACGTGGTCCCGTGGGCTCGCCGTCACTCGAGGCCGCTCCAGTGGCTCCTCCTGCCATTCCAGAGACGGGGCCAGAGCTCTTCCAACATAGCTGTGTCTCTCCCGAATTACGTACGGGTGTCTCTCCACTGGTGGACATCGGAGGCCCTGTCCAAGGGTTGCCACTTCCACGTGGTCTCCAGGTTAGTGGTCACCACGGACGCGAGCCTTTCCGGCTGGGGGGGGGTCATCTCAACTCTCAGGTGGTCCAAGGGATATGGACGGTGTCAGATTCTCAGGACAATATCAACGTTCTGGAATTGCGGGCGGTGCGCCTGACTCTGCTCCATTTTCAAAAGGTTCTGCTCCATCATCATGTTCTTGTCCTCACGGACAACATGTCTGCAAAAGCCCATATAAATCGGGAGGGGGGCACTCAATCTCTTCTCCTCATGCGGGAGGCGGAAACATTATTGGACTGGGCGGAAACTCATCTGTTGTCTCTGAGGGCGGAACACATTTCGGGAACGGCGAACAGCACGGCAGACTGGCTGAGCAGACGGCAACTGGACCCGTGGGAGTGGCGACTGGACTCCGACCTGTTTCGGGAGCTGACCCGTCGGTTCGGCCTCCCTCTCGTAGATCTCTTCGCCCGTCAGGACAACGCCCAGTTGCTGAGGTTTGTCACACGGTTCCCTTGCAGGGGAGCCGAGGCCCACGACGCCCTGAGGTGTCACTGGCCTCAGGGTCTTCTATATGCTTTCCCCCCCATCCCGTTGGTTCCGAGAGTGATCCGCAAATTATTATTGGAGAAGGCGGATCTGCTATTGGTCGCCCCTTACTGGCCTCGGCGTCCCTGGTTCGCCGACCTGGTGGACCTTTCCATAGACAAGCCTTGGCGCATTCCTCCGGACCGGGTGTCACTCAGCCAAGGGGCCATTTTCCATCCAAACCCCCAATGGCTACAATTAGCCGTGTGGCGCTTGAGCGGGTCCGTCTGAGGAAGGACAACATTTCGGGCGATGCCATCCGTACTATTCAGGCAGCCAGACGCCCTTCCACTATTCGGATTTACGATGCCTCCTGGAAGGCCTTTTGCCTCTGGTGTGCCTCCCGTCATGTTGACCCGACGTCTGCTTCTGTTTCCGAGATCATAGACTTCCTTCAAGCGGGTCTCGAGAAAGGCCTAGCCCCTTCCACTCTCAAAAGACAAGTGGCTGCCTTGGCAACTGTTCTGGGTCCGGGGGATTCGGGTTCTCTCACCCTGGACTCCCGTATAAGAAGTTTCTTAAGGGGGGCCACGAATCTTCGGCCTCCGCCCATTCGTAGATACCCCACCTGGGACTTGACACTCGTTTTGAAGTCTCTTACTGTGGCCCCTTTCGAGCCCCTGGCCTCGGTTAGCCTTCGCTTTTTGACTCTGAAGCTGGCCTTCCTGTTAGCTATCACGTCGGCTCGGAGAGTATCAGAACTCGCAGCTCTCTCCGTTCGTGAGGATCTATGTGTTTTTAAACCCCATATGGTGGTGCTCAGACTTGACCCCTCCTTTGTTCCCAAAATCAACTCCGTGTTCCACAGACAGCAGGAAATCATCCTCCCTGACTTTTGTCCCAATCCTCGTCATTCCCTAGAGGTCCAGTGGCATACCCTGGATGTCCGGCGTGCCCTACGTCGGTACATTGCCCGCACTAAAGCCTTTCGTAAGTCGGAAGCGTTGTTGGTGTCTTTCCATCCGACTACATTAGGCCAGAAGGTGTCATCTCAAACCGTGGCTCGATGGATCAAGGCCTGTATATCCTCAGCTTATAGTTCTCAAGGCAGGCAAGTTCCGGGACGTATTTATGCACATTCCACTCGCAGTGCAGCAACGTCGGCGGCATGGTCCACTCAGGCGTCAGTCCTTGACATTTGCCGGGCTGCCACGTGGACTTCGCTTTCACCCTTCGTGCGGCATTACAAGATCAATACCTTTGCATCGGCTGACGCCTCCTTTGGACGCAGGGTATTACAGTCTGTCCACTCCCCTGGGACCCTGGGGCCCAGGCAGCCTCCCTCCCAGTAGATGAGTGCTTGGGCATATCCCCAGACAAGAATTGCGAAGCATTGCCATGGAAAAAGGACGTTGTCTCACCTGAACGTTCCTTTTCTTGGCGATGCTGAGCAATTCGTCCCTCCTCTCAGGCTGCCTGGGATGGGGAGAGGGTTCTTTTGTTGTTTTCTCCAGGTCGTGTTTCCTACGATAATCCTTCAAGAAATAAACTGGAGAGCACGGAGCCAGGGGGAGTGGCCAAAAGGAAATTTAAAGGCATAGCTCACTCTCAGTTCCTGGCAAGAAGCGAGGGAAATCCCCAGACAAGAATTGCTCAGCATCGCCAAGAAAAGGAACGTTCAGGTGAGACAACGTCCTTTTTACAATAGGTCAGATGTTATGTTGAAATTTGTCTTGGTTTATTACATCCAAGAGTTCTTTCAGACAGTCACCATGGTACTTTAATTTGCTTATTTTTATCTTCTATCACTGTTTCCGTCATATGATATGGAGCCCAAAACAAAGCACTTTGACTTAAATAAACATACCCTCCTATTTCAAATCTTTAAGCGGGCTATTATCTGAATAAATCCAGATGTATGAAATCCTATTACTTGATTCCTGATTAAAATAAAACCTACAAAACTAGAGTGATATTTTAATATTTTAAATTTATTGATAGCACTGCTGCTCAACTCGATTTTGTAGTAAATCTTGAAACAATAAAATCTGAATGACAATCTTCCTCTGCTCACCAATATAATTTAAAAAGAAATCAGAAAGAAGGCACATATTCTACTCTATGTGATAGCAAAGAATAGCCATATTGTGCTACCCAATGATTGTTGTGACCTTGCATTATATATGGAATTCTAAACTATGCAGACTGAAATACAAATGGGATTCATATATTAAATTAATAATGTCTAATACAAACTCAATGGTTAAACTCACCTTGGAAACCTGTTGCTGAACTGGCATTGGTTACAGAAGTGATTTTCAACTCTACTTGCATCCCATCTCAGGTCATTCTCGTTAGGTGACAAATTATCTTTAATTTCTGTTTGTCCCCCACATTTGCTACATGGTAAGCTATCTACCCACTTGAAAAAACTACATTTAAACCAGTTGATTAACTCCACCAGAAGAATATCCTCTTCTCTCAGAATGCAATCTATACATTTAAAAAAGAATTAAAATTAAAGCAGGAGACCAGGTTATCAAATTGGAATAACCATTTCAGGAATTACACAGAATTGAAAAGAAAATAATTTTGAGGGAGCACCAAGAAATAGTAACTTTATATCAAATGTAGTATAACTTCTATAATATTCTTGTATTTTAGGGAGATATTAATTGGGTGTTTTAATCTAAGACACATTTGGCTTGTTCATTATTTGACTTATTGAGTATTTGAAAAAAAAAATACAGTAGCTTTAAAGGTTCAGGTACTGAAAGAAATTCTTCATAAATTCAGAGCCAGGAAATTTGAAATATTAGCATTCTATACATAAATATCAGGACATCTCCACTGCTATAACCAACACAGAATCAATAGGATGACAGATCTTGAATATTTACATTCAAGCTTTCAATTTAGAATTTCAACCAAGTTTTACTTAAGTTGGCCTTTTTCTACCTTGAGATGCAATATTATGGCAGTTATTTTGAAGGTGAAAAGAACTTCTTTGAGTATAACATCAGAATTGTTTGTAAGTGAATTAAAAATATTTGCTGCATTAAATAAATATATATTGGGGTCAAAAATGAACACCTTTAATAGAATCATGTCCATGTAACCGAAATAACTACACAATCTAAAACATCTTCGTATCAGATTGCATGAACACAGAGCTACAATTCTTACACATATACAAATACTTAGCTTTATTATTTCTAAAGCTACTCCAAAATGCATCTCCTGTGACAATTTTGTTTGTTAACAGATGAATGCATGTATATAGTAATGTTTTGTTTGATACTGTCAAACAACCTATTCAGCTATTACCTCTGTCCAGTTTTTGGGCTTGTGATAACTTTTTCTGAGCTTGCTTTTTCAGATTTTGGAGTGGAATACAAGCCAAAGCTTTCTTTTGTAAAATTGGGTTTTCATATGCCATTACATGTAGAAAATTTGACTGAAGTGTCTTCAAGAAAATTGATTCGGTTGTCTAAAATGAGAGGGAAAAATCTTCTCATTTTGATTGTTTTAAACAGAATTTCTAGGAACTTCAGATAAATTCATTCTTCTACATAAATGTTCTTAAATCTGATGATCCTCCAGATATATTCTAACAACATAGATTTCAAGGCGTTCAGGGCTACTGGAACTTATGGTGCTAATATATTTGGGGAACAATGGTTTTAAAAAGGCTGTTTGAAATTTCTCAAAACAGACGTTATACTAGTATAAGAGGTTTCTTCACATACTTAAGTAAAACAAGTTTAAACAAGCTGTTCAAGCATAAATATTTTCCGTTGTTCAAAATCAGTATGTAATGTAAAATACTTGGGCGTGCTTTTTTAAAACATGGCATGACTTAGGAATAGAAATATCGGCAACCATTACAAGTTTATAACATAAGATTCTAGGGCAGAATATAGAAGAATTGCAGGGTCCTTGGTACTCTCCAAGCTCAGATATTTCATCACCAAACCAGGTAATATTATCAGGGATAGTAGGCAGTGGGCTTTGCTCTCATTTAATATACTAGTGCAGAGATCTTTAAACTTGGCAGCTTTAAGACTTGTGGACTTCAACTTCCAGAATTCTCCAATCAGCTTCTGGGAATCGAAGTCCACAAGTCTTAAAGCTGCCAAGTTTGAAGACCTATGTACTAGTGGCTTGCCCTGTCAGTGTTGGTGGGAGTAGCCTTGATGGTTCCTTGATTAGAATGTTCTCTACTGCTAGTTTGTTGGGGATGTTGATGTTACTAGTCTGGTAATGAAATAGGAGCTGAGCTACGAATATTCTTTTCTATTAACATAGATGAACAAAAGATTCTTTTGTTCAGCCTCTACGCTCCTCAGAAATTTTGAAGTAATGTTGGCTGCCCCTTCCATACCTGACAATGGGTCACTTGCTGGTTCCTGATATTTCTCAGGATTTATCTTAGAAGATATTGTAAAGTATAGTCAATCAATTTATGTCAGAACATTGAACCTAATAACCAAGAGTCCAAAATGTGATTTTACAGTATCTTTTGGTGATAAGAATGAAGTACCCCACTTTTCTTTAACAATTGTTCTCCAGAGTCTCCTAAAATATTTTATGAGGTAGGAAAGGAAATGGACTTAAATCCACACAATCTTCACAGACATAATAAATTTTTTGATCCAGTGTACCTTGGAATAATGTATATTTTTGAATAATCAGAAATATTAATTTACCAGAAGGCAAACTGATATTATGTACAATCTTTTCTGAATGTGTAATGATATGTTTCCTTATAAAGCATAGGGATCCAGAGATATCCAGTAAGACACAATAGGAGTACTGATTCCTACAACCCAGACTCACATTCATAAAATGGGCAGATATATAAGTTTGATAAATAAAATCTTGCTTTAGGAAATCTCTGATAGAAACTGAATTAATGTATTGTTGTATATGTTCCAGAACAATTGTCATCAATATATGTGCATCCAACAAAACTGATATATGTACATTCAACTCGGAGTGTATGAAGCAGCTTTGATTCAATCTGAATCGCTGACTAGATCATTCACCAATCTGGAATCTCTAGCCGATTCAGATATTGAAAGCATCAATATGATTTGATCAAGTGATCTTCAAAGTAAATTTCCAAATACTCATATAATACTCAGCATGATTACATAGGCAGGGCATACAAATAATTTCAGCATGATTTGCAAGTATGTTATAAAATATCATGCAAATGACCTTAAATCCACTATAAATTTTATTTTTATATTATATAACATATTTGCAATCATACTTCATTGGGTATATCCTTGAAGACTAAATGCTTATGTAATATATAAATTTAAATATTTTATATAAGCAAAGAAAATATTTCTAGGAATTGACATATGAATTACATTTCCATTTCACACTGTGATTTAAGTCTTTAATTTACACTCACAATTTCAAATATTATTGTTTAATGTAACAGACTTTAAAATAGGTTACCATGACAGCAGACTGAGTATTTTTGTCTAATTTGGTGTCAGTAGTAGGCTGTGTATTTGTTATTTTTCCAGAGGATCTCATTTGATCTGATCCATTTATTCAGCTATTCTTTTCCCCAGCAATTAGATTTCAAATTCTGCATAGCTGCTCAATTGATGCCTTCTTAGGAAAAGTAAGATGAGTTTTTCCCCTGAAATTACAATTACAAAAGTGAAATCATCTATATTAAAAATTATTTTGTTCTGCATTATACCATGTCTTCCAGCCTGGTAAAATAAATGCAAAAATAAAAAATACTCTTGTCAACTACAGGTAATCTTACTTAATAATGGTAACTGGAATTGGAATTTCCATTTCCACTTTCATTAAACGATCTGATCATAAACTCATGAGACCGCACCACTTAGTGATGGCAATCCTAGCAATCATTGTTGCCATCTTTAAGCAAGAATCAATGGTTAAGCAAGGGTTTCATTTAACTGTTAGTTGTGACATCCTGCCAGCTTTCAACAAGCAAAATCAATGGGCAAGTTAGCAGAAAATCTAAAGTCCCAGGCATGACTAGTTTATCTGTGTATATACAAATTATAAAATAGATAATACAATCAAGAATGGTTAAATATGGCATACATATTTTTCACTAGATGTTGATAATCTTAAAAAATGATCAAGTTTTCCTTAGCATATGAAGCCAGAACAGGCAAAATACCTTCACTGTAGAGCAGGGGTCCTCAAACTTTTTAAACAGGGGGCCAATTCATGGTCCCTCAGACTGTTGGGAGGCCGGACTGGCTGGCTGGGTGTGGCTAGGTGGTCATGTGACTGGGTGGTCATGGGGAAATTTATTTATTGATACGGATTTTTATGTTTTACATCTAGTTTTTATATAGTTTTATCTCACTGTTGTGTGCCACCGAGTCACTTTTGGTGAACTGCTCTCATCAGGATCTAAGGCAAAAATATTCAGAAGGACCCAAAAGCTAATGCAGCCTGTATAAAAGCATTTGCAAGACTGAACTATTGATATAAAAACCTGGGCAAGATTGCATCGTTGCAGATATTCAAATACCTGGGAAGGGAGTAGAGATAAAGCTCCCACAGCAAAGCCCATAAAAATCCTGATCTTGAGTGAGACATAGACTGGATCACCTTATTTCAGAAGGAGTTTAGTGGCATCTTTTATTTTATTGAAAACCAAAAGGCTTTGTGATTAGCACAGTCCTCATATAAACCCCTTCCTCGTAATATGAACTCACTGGTTCTGAAACATGAAGTAAATCTGTTCGTTCTTTAAAGACTTGAAGAGAAAAATTCCATTGCTTCTTATTGTCCCTTTTCCTGGCTCAGGGGTCTGTAATCTTAAACACTCCCTCTCATCTCTTTGTCTCATCTTTTTCTCTCTGTCTCCCTCCCTCCCTCCCTCCCTCCCTCCCTCCCTCCAAACTCTTTCTCTCTTTCTTTCTCCATCTCCCACTCCCCCCCTCTCCCTCATCTTTCTCTCCCTCCCTCCGTGTCTCTCTCTGTCTGTGGGTGTGTATGTGTATGTGTGTGTCTCTCTCTCACTCCCTGTCTCTATGTCTCTTCCCACTCTCTAGGAAAACCCTGCGTCCTTTCCTTGGGGCTTTTTGCTACCTGTTTTTCTTTCTTCCTTTTGGAAATCCGGGCTTGCTGAGGAATGAGTGGTGGGGGCTTCCCTCCTCCCCCTCCTCCTCTCGCGACCCCGTAGCTAGCTGTGGCGGGGCTGGGAGGGTGCACATGAGAAGGGAAGGAGGAGAGGAGGGAAGCCTCTTCCCAAAGGAAAGCCAGCTGGGCTTCTTCCCTTCTACCCTTTCCCCTGCTCCCTTCCACCCACTCAATCCTATTTTGGGAAGAGGAGCGTGTTGGGGTGACTGAAGATAAGGGCGACGGCTGGGAACGGCAGGGTGGGGGGCGGGGCTTAATCACCACTGTGCGAGGGGCAGATAGATTGTGTCAGCAGGCCATATCTGTCCCACGGGTCATAATTTGAGGATGCCTGCTGTAGAAGATGAGAATAATGAGACATTTCAAAACGATCAAATAAAATTCTTCTACATAGCAATTTCAGTGTACTTACCTCTACAAACCCCATTTCAAACAGGCATTCAACAGCTTCTCTGACAGCCAACAATCTAGTAGAAAATGTTTGATCTCCAATCCAAAGAGATCAATATTTTTTTTCATTTGAGTGTCTGATTAGAGTGAAAACTATTTAAACTATTTAAAGTATTTTTCTAAGACATACTTGTGTTTTGAAGCCAAGAACACTGCTTTCAATTTTAAGTAACAAACTATGGCTATTTGCTGATCCCATGAGCCCAACCATGACTATTTTGAGTTCCATGGATATGTTCTCTGGTTTCACAATTCTGAGATATTATTATTTGCATAGTAAATCAAGTCTGTAAAATGATTGAAGTCTTTTATTGCTTATATCTTGCATGATAAATCAGTATTTTTTAAGGGAACATAGCTGGGCTAATCACATTATTTTGCCATATTTTGCAACTATTCCCTCTATTTCCTCTTATGAGTGTTTTTAGATAAACACTCACACATTGATCAGCTCCTGGATGACCTTTTGTCAACCTTTGAAAATTCTTTGAACTAGCTTCCAGTGAAGATGGCCAACTGACCAGAAAGCTCTTTCCAGACCAAAGCCTTTTCAATTTTACAAAATAATAAACTAAGTTCTGTAAGTTTATATCAGTCTCCTGAATTGGGGAGAGTCTCATAATCATCCCATAACATCTTCCATTCTGCAATAGTCTGCAAGGAGACTCTGGAGCAGCACTTTAAAGAAACCAAGTGAGCCATTTAACTAGAGGTGAGATGGGAGCTGCTGTCACTCTGTTGTGAAAAAGCAGCCATTTTAGAATTTATTTTTCAAGTAGACAATAAGTTGTCCCTTTCACTTCTTAGACAATTTATTAGCTTATTACATTTACTAAGCTAAAAAAGGCTTCTTTCAGTCACAACCTATTACTCCTTTTTGAAGGTCTTCACCATTTTGGAGACATTGTTATTGTTTTCATGAATTGCCCACATGTATTTGATGTTGGGAATTATAATTTTCAATTTTTGATTAGTAGGGAGGCTGAAATCATCTGATTTTTATGAATTCTGGTTGGCCAGAGATATCAGCTGATCTACATAAATATTTTTGTTTGTTTTGATCAGAAAAGGGAGCTTTTAAAGTTTACTATCTCTTGATTTGCAACTAGTTGACTGTTGATCTATTTTATAATCCCTTGTTGGAGTTTTTTTTGTTATTTCATTGTTTACTCCAAGCCACTTTTCTTTTCGCTGTAAGGAACTCTGTGATGAAAATACATTTTCTGGCAGTGAAAGTCATCTGATTGGATTTATACAGAATTATATTGCAAATGTTATTCTTTCTAACTCTTAAAAAAAAAAGAACTTTGATTTTTATGTTTTAACTTTGATGGGAAAATTTCCCTTTTTAAATTATTTTTTATTTTGGGAAAAAACTTTATCTCGACTTTTGTCTATGATCATTAGGTTATGATTCTCTTGTCCCTGGAAAGAACAGTGTGTTTTTCAAAATGTCTCTAAAATAAAATAAAATTTTCTGGGAAACATTCAAAAAAAGAATGCTCTCCAATTTATAGATTTTATTTGAAAATATAAATAAAAAACGTGATGGGCCACAGGGACTTTGAACCAAATCCGGGAGGATATTCAAAAGCAGGAAATAACAGTTCGACTTGATTTGCAACAATGAATTCAAGTACAATCTTTTGCTGCCAAATGTGAAGAAAGTATTTGGTTTGAAAAGGAATATTCATTCAAGAAATTCTGAGATAATGAATGATGAAGGATGGATTGGATTTTCTTGGCAAGATAAATGTTGTGTTTTTAAGGAGATATTCACAACAGAGACTTATCAACTTCAGAAATGAAATGCAATTTTTGGGAAAATTCCCAATTAAAATCTAAGGAATGGTTTTATTATTAAAACTCAAAAATCCATTTCCAGCATTTAACGGACAGATTGCTGAACCTTTTCGCCAATCTTGCAGATGGTACATGCCACCTGTAAAACATTTTATAGAGGTTTTCTTTGTAGGCCGAAGCCATAGTCAATTTGTAATTTCTGTTGCAAAGTTTTAACCATTTCTCTAATTCTATATTGTATCCGAAATTCTTTGCTCAAACAATAATCATTTAACTATTTCTTCCTCCATTTTATAGTTCAGTAAATAATTATATATATATTTTGATCAATCCTGGAAATGCAACCAGACTCCAGACATCTACTTCTACATGTGGTGGATGTGCAGTAAAGCAAGAAAATTCTGGGAGAAAATATATAACTGGTTGGAAATGATAACTGAGCAAAATATTGAATTTAAACCAGACACATGTCTTTTAGGTATACTATCAGAAAGTTATGATAAAGCAACTACATATTTAGTGTTACATATATTGACGGCAGCAAGAATTATATTTGCTAAATATTGGAAAAACGTGAACACCCCATCAGACGAGGATATAATTAGGAAAATTTGGGATTGTGTGCTGAAATGGATAGACTAACTTCAAAAATTAAAGATAAAAAAGACTCAGAATATTATCAGACATGGAATAAATTTTATGAATGGATAGAGACAAACGGTAGAAATGAGAGAAAGTAAGAGTATGAATGTTAATAATTGTTAGTATGGAAAATAAAGATGTATAAAACTATAACTATAGTAAGGGATAAAAATGTAAGCTAACGTTAAGAAGAAATTTAGTTTACGTTTTTGGGTTATACAATTATAATTACTGTTATTATATAATTCTTATCATTATTAGTTTGTGTGTTAAGATTTACTATCAATTTTTCTTTGATTTTGCCCTACTTGTAAATGTTATCCTGACAAGACACTGTTTTTCAAAAATGCTTATGAATAAAAATTATATTTAAAAAAAAAGACTCAATTGATGGTATTTGATCCTGGACAGTTTAGAGATGATGACTGGGGTATTTGAGGTAGATAAAAAACCATTGTAAATTCTCTACAAGTAAATTACAATAATAGATTGTTAACAGAGGCCCTTGAACTTTAACTTTGCTGTTGTTTAACTCAGGGATCCTTAACCCCAGTCCACAGGCAACTGGGAATTGAGCTGTGGAAGCAGCAGGCAAGTGTGCGAAATCCCCCCTTCCTCCCCCCCACCCCCCACGCTGCTGGGGTAGCAGTAAAGGTTGGGAACCACTGATTTAACCTGTTAACTATTTTTTCTTCGTACATGCAATGTATAATAGGTCAAATTGGGTTGCAAATATATATAAAAGTGTATAAGTTTTGGACCTGTTTTCCAAGGGGAGAAGCTATTGTTGTTGTAATACAGCTGTCACTGTTTAACTAGGGGAAGATTAAAAAAAAACACCCCACATTATTCCAGAAAGCCTTTGGGAAATGATATGAATCATGACATGTCCCTGTATAAATGAAAGTTAGATAATTTGAGATGTAATTCTTAAAGTATAATTTGTGTTTTATAATAGTTACTGTTGCAGTTAACCATTTTAATCTGTTTATTGAATTGGAATGTATGCTTAGGAGCCAGTTTAATTTAAATGGTATATAAACCTGAATAATAAATATTTGTGTTTTTCTTAAATATAATTAGTGTGGCATTATGTTTGCTATCATGTATGATAACTGAATCTTCTTTTGCTCTTGATAATAGGCACTTAAACTTTGAGAAAATTATCTGAAGATTCAGTAGGTCGAAAATAATAAGGGTTGAACCATTCAAGAGCATACTGCTACTATTTTCTAAATAATTAATTGCCTGGCAGGACATTTATGGATATAGTTTAATCTTTTTATGCTTTAAAATCCTAGTTTAATACTGATTCAGCCGTCTCCAAAAATGCATTTGGTTTTAGAAGACTTCCTCAATTCCCTGACTTTTCAATTTAAGCACTAGGTTCCTGTACTGTTTATATAATAAATTTATTCTTTCTGCTTTTTCTGCAGTATCAGCTACTCCCACTAAGGAATTCCTCCTCCAAAATGTGTTCCTCTCTCCCATTTCTGCCCATGACAGGTATAAATAAGGCAGTCTTCACAGCTTTGGATTTTAATGAGACTATTTTGCCTGTAATTAGATTCCTTTTAATGCTTCTTAATCAGAATGTCTATGGAGATTCTCAGTCATCCAGGTCATGGTTGTCCCAAAGGTGCTTTTTTCAAGAGGCAACTGGACTTTCTGAAGCTGTGTCTTGAAAAAAGCACCTCTGGGAATCTTAATCAGAACTTATTCCAACCCTGAGAATAAACTGGAATTCCAATATTAACATATTCAAATATATTTTATGCTACATAAAACTAGGGAGCAATGTAGTTATTCTTCAAAAACTACCCTTTCTGCAGTCAAACGTCTCTGAAATTTGGATGAGAATGAGTATAAAACTAATCTCATTTGGTTCTTTGGAGCTTGATAATTTTATTTTTAATATATTTTGAGCTACACATATGTTTTAACAATTAATACCCTTTCCAAATCTGTACTCCTGCTGCATTGGCCATCAATTTAATTTAATCATTGTAGTTTTTAACCAGCAAGGGAGCTGCCCTAAACATCCAGAAGCTTATTATTCCAATCTTAACCTATAATTTTATCCTGATCTTTGAATACTCTGATAATAAGTATTCTGGATAGTTGCATTTCTTGCTTGTTTTTCTATTGTAATATTACAGCTCCCAAGTCAGCTTTATATGCTGACTTCATTTTTAAAATGAATTATATTGCAACTCCAATTATACTAAATTACTTTGCTATTCAATCTGAAACGCAAACATTATTTTGTGGAGGGAATATGCACTCTGCACATACACAGAGGTTCTCCCCAGCTCTCAAATTTGCATGTGCCTGGACAGAACAAATAGCAGGGTGCATCTTTAATTTGAATTCATCTACCTGGCAGAAAGAAGCTACTATAAGAGATTCGCCTTTCCCACAATATAATGGAGTTGCTGGAATACAGCTTCGTATTACGCTGAACAAATGTACAGACAAACTAGTAATGTCCCAGCAGTGCTGTACTGTATACAATGCAGATCTTAATGGTGACTTCTTTCTCCTTAAACAGATGCAGGAGAGATAGTTTAATTTGCAATTGAACGCGCACAAAAAAAGGAAATTGCACAACTGAATTTGTTAGTTAGTAACCCGCCCGCGACACTGAAAACAATTGTTATGCCCCCAAAGTCGTCACCTCCTGTTTGGCAGACCCGTCCGTCCTTCTCATCTGGTGATATTACACGCGTAGGTAAGCAGCAACCCCGAGGCCTCTAAAAACGTTTCTCTAGAATTCTGGGACAGGTCGCTTAGTGCTCACGAGAGCGCTGTAGTGGCAGATTCAACCGCGGCCACCATCCCATTGCAATGGCATTTGTCTACTATTAGTCTTCGCCAGAGAACAGAAACTTGTTTTTCGCAGCGCGCCCGCCCGCACTCAATTCTAAATTTTCCTGACTCAGACTACCATGCGTCTAAATGGGGCGCCGATTATGGTGACTCAGAAAAGGATGGCGATGACGTCTTCACTAGTGTGACAGGACCGCTTCCCCCCTCCCTGTAATGAGCATGCGCAGCACCTACATTGTCCCCCACCCTCACCACCTGATAGATTTCCTGAACCTTATATGTCGGGAGGCGACTTCTTGAAGATTTACCGATACTGGGCAACAGAAATCCGAGCTACTGAATGGCAGTGACAGCAAAATAATCCTTCTTTGTTCCCAGTTAATGTAGTCTGGATTTTACATCCCCCAGATATGGTAATCCTATAGGGCTTTCGAGCAAATTATTTTTGTTAATGCTAGTGTCTTTTATGTCTGCCTGATATGTGTTGCAGAATCCAGACAGTATCTAGAAGATAAGAAAACTTGTGTAACCTAGTGCTTATTCGGCTTTTGCAATTCAGATTTGGCAGCTTTACTCAAAAAGCACTATGGATCTTATCCTTATTGTTCCCATTTTTTTCTTTTAAGAAAATAAGAGGAAAAATGATAAGAGAAATCAGTATGCTTTATGAATTAAAAAACACTATCATCCTAGATCCTTTTAGTGAACGAAACAAGGCAGTTATATGAATTGCATGCTAACAAGCCTCAACTGGATGCATCTGCACTGCAATCCTAAGCATGCATTTTAATATATAAAATGCTAAATTTATTTATTTATTAGTCATATTTCTATGCCGCTCACTCTCCGAGGACTCTGGGCGGCTTACACCAAAGACAGTATACTAAATAGCATATTGCCCCCTAGCAATCTGGATCCTCATTTTATCCCCCTAGGAAGGATGGAAGGCTAGGGAGGGCCCGGGATAGGGGTTATTCCTCTATCCTGGTCCTATTAGACCTCTCAGCGGCTTTTGATACCATCGACCATGGTATGTTGCGCCGGCTGGAGGGACTGGGAGTGGGGGGCACTGTTCTGCGGTGGTTCTCCTCCTATCTCTCCGACCGGTCGCAATCTGTGTTGACGGGGGCAGCGGTCGACCCCAAGGCACCTTGTTTGTGGGGTGCTGCAAGGGTCGGTCCTCTCGCCCCTCCTGTTCAACATTTATGTGAAGCCGCTGGGTGAGATCATCCGTGGTTTTGGGGTGGAGTTCCATCAGTACGCTGATGATACTCAGCTGTACATTTCCACCCCAGACCATCCCAATGATGCCTTGGAAGTGATGTCCCAGTGCCTGGAGGCCGTGCGGGTCTGGATGGGGAGAAACAGACTTCGACTCAACCCTTCCAAGACCGAGTGGCTGTGGCTGCCGGCGTCCCAGTATAGCCAGCTGACGCCATCGCTGGTTATTGGGGGCGAATCATTGGCCCCCACGGAGAGGGCCCGCAACTTGGGTGTCCTCCTGGATGCGCGGCTGTCCTTAGAAGGGCATATGACAGCCGTGGCCAGGGGGGCTTTTTGTCAGGTTCGCCTGATACGCCAGTTGCGTCCCTTTCTGGACCGGGACTCCCTACGCACGGTCACTCAAGCACTCGTCACTTCTCGTCTGGACTATTGTAACGCTCTCTACATGGGGCTCCCCTTGGGGTGCACCCGGAGGCTCCAACTGGTGCAGAATGCGGCTGCGCGGGGGATTATGGGAGCGACGGGGCGCTCCCATGTGACTCCTCTCCTGTGCGAGCTGCATTGGCTTCCGGTGGACTTCTGGGTGCACTTCAAGGTGTTGGTGATCACCTTTAAAGCGCTCCATGGCTTAGGGCCAGGGTACTTACGGGACCGCCTTCTGCCACCAATAGCCTCCCACCGGCCGGTTCGCTCCCACAGAGAGGGCCTCCTCAGGGTGCCGTCGGCCAGACAATGCCGGCTGACGACCCCCAGGAGGAGAGCCTTCTCTGTGGTGGCACCTACCCTATGGAACAATTTACCCCCAGAGATACGAGTGATCTCCGACCTCCGGATTTTTCGTCGGGCCCTAAAAACTTATTTTTTTCAGCTAGCCGGTCTGTCCTGATTTTAGGGTTAGTTTTAAAATTTTAATATTTATTTTAATTGACAAGTTTTAAATTATGGGCCAAATTTATAAATTATTTTAACTTTATTTTTAACTGTGATGTTTGTATAGATGTTTTTTATCTGGCTGTTCACCGCCCTGAGTCCGAAAGGAGAAGGGCGGTATAGAAATTCGAATAAATGAAATAAATGAAATGAAAGTCAGCCTTGAGCTGGTGAGATTTGATCCGCTGATCTGCTGAACTAGCAGTCAGCGGAAGTAGTTGCACTACTGCACTCTAACCACTACGCCACCTCGGATCTAAATGATGTATTTTTATTTTCCTGTAAAGTTAAATCTTACTTACCTTTATGGGATTTATCCTATATCTGAAAAATTATATATTAGTTGAAAGTGAAACTTGCAAGCTCTGCCAAATTCATTATGGCTTATCTCCTTAGTACAGTAAATTTGTTGCTCATATAATTGAATGTTGGTGATCTGGAATTAAAATCTATCTACATTGTATTACCACAAGAAATGAGCAATATGAATTCTCCAAATTTTGCAGAAATATAGGCTAGTAACATCATAGGATTATTTACACTTTCTATGCAATACAATTAAGATAGAATGTATATGATTATATGTATATAGACTTCTATGGCATAAAAGACTTGGCATAAAAGACTTGTAAAGATTTGTTGGAGGTATAAAATAATCAGTAGCAAGGATATAAATTGTCTGATTTTGAATAGCTAATCCTTTTTTTCCCTTGTTCTCTTCAATTCAAGTTAATCTGTTTGTTCTTTCATTGTTTGTCTTCAGCAATGCTGAGATTTATATAAGATACTGAGATCCAAATAGCTTTTTCACTAATAAATTCAATTTTTTATTTTTTTAAAAAAATTGATTTATATGCCGCCCTTCTCCGGAGGCTCAGGGCGGCTTACAATGCGTTAAGCAATAGCCTTCATACTTTTGTATATTTATACAAAGTCAGCTTATTGCCCCCACAAACTGGGTCCTCAATTTACCTACCTTAGAAAGGATGGAAGGCTGAGTCAACCTTGAGCCTGATGCGATTCGAACTTAAAAATACAGTAATTGCAGACAGCTGGTGTTAATCACAATGCTTTTAGTCTGCTGAGCCACCAGGCCAATATGCTGAAAAGGAGACTTCGTTTCTTAAAGAGTAGCATCATATTATAAATATGCTGTAGGCAGTGAAAAGACCTCTAAAAATAGGCTATGTGTTATATGCCTGGTAAATACAAAGAACATAGAATAATAGGGTTGGAAGGGATATTGGGGGTCTTCTAGTCCAAGTCTCTGCTCAAGCAGGAGACTTATACCATTCCAGATAATAAAAAGTCTTTATGGACTTTTTTATGTATTCTTGTCCTCCCTTTTGGGGGTGACCATGGCTATTAGCCCCCCAAAAGGAGGAAACATTATGAGCCAATTTGGCTAAACGTCAGAGAATTATATGTGCAAATCAGAGATATGAACTAAATTGCTTATCATGAAGTTGGCTACTGCAGCGTGTTCTTGATGTTGTTGCTGACTAAAAAGTGATTTTAATAGATCCATGCAGTTTTCATTACAACAGTGTCCTTCCTTTTTCTAGGACTTTTGAATAAAATTCTGAGTCTGTTTTCCAGTCTTGATAGTCTTTGATAGTGTCCCGTAGAATCACTAATCAAGCCTGACACATTGGTTGGGAGTCTGTGTCTATTGGCTTGGCTTTGGGTGTATGGTCGACTGTTCTCTACCGTGTGGCAGGGCTTCATCTTTGTGGCTGGCTGGGGTATGTTTTGGCTGGGGGTCTCAGGGTGTGTGTGTGTGTGTGTGTGACCATACACCCGAAGCCAAGACAATAGACACAGACTGGGACTCCCAACCAATTAGGATGAAGAGGTGGGGCCATCCCAACAAAGCACGCTGCCAGCACCAGATTTGAAACAGTAACGGCTGTTGTTGTTGAAGAACCCTTGCACAGGCTAAAACTATGGCATAGTGAGTTGTTTTTCAGATTATTTATTTCCTGCAAAGCAATAAAATTCCAAAGTTTTGTTCTACTTCCAAAAATTTACAAGAAAGATAAAATTATAATAGTAAAGACTTTAAAGTTTGAGCTGAACAATTCTGTGCATATATTTTTGAATTTAATACATTAGTTTGTGAATTTAATACATCGAATACGTTGAATTTAGTATGACCAAAGAGTCATTTCTTGCAAATTTTATGAATAATTTGACTCTGGCATATACTGTAAACTTTTTATGAGAAAATTCTTACCTCTGTTTTCAAATTTCAATCTTAAATTCTTCAATTAGGCTTGAAAATTAGAATATAGGAACCATTTATTTCATTTTACTTAAATTTACATTATCATACATTGCATGTTTGATATATTGATAACTTTTTTACTGTTGTAAGAAATACAAACTTTACCCATCGTGAAAGCTTGTAAATAATAATTTTATTTTCCTCCCTTCCATAGGAATAAACTTTGAAGTAGTACAGTGATGATTCTCCAGCACTTGAGAACTATATTCAGAGTTACAAGCCTCTGCCTTCCAAGTTCACAAGTACAGCATTATTTAAATATCAATAAAAGATGTCTGAATACTAGGTTAGTTCATGGTCGAAGAAGGGTTGTTGTCACAGGTATAGGATTAGTATCTCCTCTTGGTGTTGGAACCCAGTTGGTTTGGAACAATCTTCTCAAAGGAAATTGTGGGATCGTTGCCCTTGAAGGGGAAGAATATGCTTCTGTCCCTTGTAAAGTTGCTGCTTGCGTGCCAAAAGGGGTTGATAAAGGTCAGTTCCATGGAGAAAATTTTATAATAAAATCAGACAGCAAAGCTATGTCTTCTGCCACCATCATGGCCATAGGTGCTGCTGATCTAGCATTAAAAGATTCTGGTTGGTCTCCGCAATCTGACGAGGATAGTTTGAAAGCTGGTGTGGCTATGGGAATGGGAATGGTTCCACTGGAAGATATCTCAGATACAGCCTTGACATTCAAAACAAAAGGCTACAACAAAGTCAGCCCCTTTTTTGTTCCAAAGATTTTGATCAATATGGCAGCAGGTCATATTAGTATCAAACATCAGTTGAAAGGACCAAACCATGCTGTGTCCACTGCTTGTACTACTGGAGCACATGCCGTCGGAGACTCTTTTCGATTTATAACTAATGGTGATGCTGATATGATGTTGGCTGGAGGAACGGAAGCTTGTATTAGCCCATTGTCTCTGGCTGGATTTGCCAGAGCTCGAGCTCTGAGCACTAGCTTTAACTCTAACCCTCAAAAAGCTTGTCGTCCATTCCATCCACTAAGAGAAGGATTTGTTATGGGAGAAGGTGCTGCAGTTTTGGTTTTGGAAGAATACATGCATGCTAGCCAGAGAGGAGTCAAACCATATGCAGAAATTTTAGGCTATGGACTGTCAGCTGATGCCTGCCACATTACAGCACCTGATCCAAATGGAGATGGAGCTTTAAGGTAACAGCTATTATTGGTATAATTTAATTTTATAATTAAATTTTATATATATATATATATAATAGATTATAATTGATATAACCTTTGGTATAATTTCCTAATGTAGGAATGGCTTGCTTTCTGGCTGATCAGAGGTTCTTTATATGGGAACATTAACTAGCTAAGATTATGTAAATGGCACACTGGTAGAGAAACTTTATGTAAATGGCACACTGATAGAGAAACTTTTTGTGGTCACACTTTGAAAAAAGTGTTTCCATATAAAAGCTAGATTGGCAATAGTACATTTACTACTGAGACATCTTTTCATTTTCCTGTTTCTGTTTTCCTGTGTTTCTGATGGTTGATGAATGGAATATTTTTATTCCTGTATTTGCCTGCTTCTGGGGCTTTATATTACTGCCTCCTTTATACTGTTCTAAGTTTTTAGTTACATTTCCGTATGTATTATTATTCAAAATAGTAGTTATATTTTTAAAAAGGAATTGAGAAACAGCTGACCCAGTGTACTAGTTGTTAGCTTAATACCTGTTTTTCATAATTTGGTGAAAGTATTGAAGTGTGAAGCAGAACTTTTATTTAGGAAGGATGTGAACCTGATATAGTTTTAAATTTGAATTTGGATAAAACCATTTGAAATACTATTGTGATTATTGGAGATAATCATGAGACAATCATGCTGGCTCATTGTAAAAAAGGAAATAATTATGAATTATATAGTACCTACATACTGTGTAGAAATGATGATTCTATTGCATAAAAAGTTAAACTAATATATCTTATTTATTCTTAAAATAATAATGATTCCCCATTATGTAAAGAAAAAAAGACTATATTTACTGCTATTAATAGTTTCTGCTTGTTCAGCTCCAAGGTACATTCAGTTAAGGAGAGGCACAGCATTCAATGAAATATTCTACCAACCAGCACAACTGAAGATTCAAGATAATTAAATTTATCAACTCATTAGAATTTAATTTTCTAGTTTCAACCAACCTGGCAATATCGTTCAATTAAAATTATAATATAGAAGAAAAGGGTGTCTATTTGTGCCTTAAAGACCCAGTTTAAGAATTCAGCATTTAGTTGTAACAGGTGTCTTGTAAAGTTTTTTATACTTCTTAGTTTGGGTGAGGATCTCCTAATCTTCAGTGCAGGATTGCAGTAGATGGGATCCCAGAAAATCTCATTTACATATATGACATTTTACATCCTTACAGTCTTGCATATTTCATTATTTTCAGGCACACAAATGGATTGAAATAACTTTCTCATATCCGATAAGCTAATGTCTTCCTTTTTGTTCCAAAGGTGCATGTCTGCAGCAATCAAAAATTCTGGAATTTCTCTGGAAGACATAACATACATCAATGCTCATGCCACCTCTACTCCACTAGGAGACGCTGCAGAGAATCAAGCTATCAAAGACCTTTTTAAAGGTCATGCTTCTGCTCTTGCAGTCTCCTCAACTAAGGGAGCAACAGGTCATCTCTTGGGTGCCGCAGGGGCTATTGAGGCAGCTTTTACTGCTTTAGCTTGTTACCATAGAATTTTGCCACCTACTTTAAATCTGGATCAGACAGAGCCATTATTTGATCTCAATTATGTTCCTCTAGTACCACAAGAATGGAAAAGTAAAAAGCGGCTTATTGCTCTCAGTAACTCCTTTGGTTTTGGTGGAACTAATGCATCATTGTGTTTTGCCAGTATTTAATCTTGCAATATCTATATGTAAGTACCATGCTCCCTCCTCCATTTACCTACCAACCAATTATAAGTATAAATGTAAATCATTTGTCTATTTTTTAATTCACATCTTTTTTTACTAGTGCTTGCTTGTTCCTTTGAATGCTTTGCTTCAGCTGAATTTCTGAGGATTAGAACTTCTTCATTAAAAGGATGTGAAAGGTTTCAAATTCAGAAAATTTTTAATTCGTAATACCCCATGGGGTTGAAACAGTTGAAACAGAAAATTTTAAGTGAGTGAACACCTACTCTGAATCAAAAAGGAAATTCAGTTATTGTATCCCATTTTTATTTTGTTTTAAACTGTTATCCACAAGTCATGTATTCAGGTTATGTGGCCAGATACAATTTATTAAATAAATAAATATTCCCTGAATTTCTTTAATCTAGTGTCTGTGCCATTTTTATGCACACTAAAGAGAAAGATAGACTAGTCAAGGATGCTTCTTCATTTTTTTAGTTCCCAATTTTTTTGTCTACTTTCTATTTCTTTCCATTGTATAACATTTCTGAGCTGATTATTTTCTTCCTTTATGAGTGGTTGGTTCGGTGAAAAGTCCTGGAATTTGCTTTTCTAAGCAAATAAGTTTAACTAGAGAAATTACTTCTATTTGCTAAATATCAATGTTTTGCGTGTTGTCTATAATAGATAGTTTCATATCATAAAATGTCTTAGGAACCCAACTACATAGCAATGTTAAAAGGAAAATTTTTAAACAAATGTAATATTGAAAATGCAGTGATAGAAACATGTATCAATTAAATATAAAATAATTTGTTTTTAGTTTAAACGAGTAATGATAATAATACCTAGTAATGATAATAAAATCCAGACTAACATAAAAAGTTAAAGATTGTATGTTGTTTGTATATAATTTGTATATAATTGGGGAAGATATTGAACTAATATGTTATCACCTAAATTAAAATCCTAACATCTTCAAACTCTAGAGTAAAATGTATGGAATTGCAGAAAATAATTTCTAAGTGTGTAAAACTAAATAGCTGGGTTAAGAAAGTGTTCTTGTTTACATATAGTGCTACTATATGTATATATTGAGTGGCACTGGATTTAGTTACAGCAAAGTTAAGGCAGAAGCAGCCCATTCGCTTTTGTTTCAGAAGCAAATTTAAATTCTTGTTAAGTTTGATACATCTGTTCTCAAAGCCTATGACAGCCTTTGTACATCTTTTTTTAATGTGCCTTTGAATCAGTTTTTCACTCCTTATGAGTTCCTGACCTTGTCCCTGAAGTTTTCTTGGCAAGGATTTCAAAAGTGGTTTCCATTGCCTTCTATTAGGACTAAGAAAGAATGATTGGCCCAAGGTTGCCCAGCTGGTTTGATAACGTGTTTCCCCGAAAATAAGACTAGGTCTTATATTAATTTTTGCTACAAAATATGCATTAGGGCTTATTTTCTGGTTAGGTCTTATTTTGGGGGAAATACGGTACCTAATAAGGGACCAAAACTCTTGGTTTCTGCCTTTTGTCTTAATTTATTATATCAAGCTGGCACTCAGTTGTTGAAAACCTAATAATAACTTCTTTTCATCAGGTAACACAAGGAAAATGCTTGTCATTAAATATCTCACAGAAATATAATAAATCAAGGGAAATTCTAGGCAAAGAACATGAATTGCAAACAATTAAAAACCCTAATAAAACCCAAATCAAGGCCCTTATAAAAATATTATTCTCCTCATATAGATTATATATACACATCAGTGCTCCAGCGAATTAACATCCTAGCCCTAAGGCCTGGGGGAACTGCTAGATCTTCACACTGGGGTGGGTGTGTGGGAGGGGAAGATGAGGGCTCCAGTGGGGCATGGGAGAGCCTAAAGAATCATATGACAGATGTATATTTATATTTCCCATGTGGAGTTATTTAATTGAACTTGATAGCCTATTGTAAATATACAGTGTTGGGAAAAAGATACTACATGCACAGATATGATCAGCTGGACATTCTGTATTATATCAGTTGCTTCCAGCTCATTTTCAGATGCAGCCCAGTGTAGAGTGCATTACGGTAATATAGGTGAGTAGTGATAAGAGTGAGAATTGTTGCCAAGACTTTCCAGGCCAAATAACACCTCAGTCTCAGTGGGGCAAAGACTTGCCTAGATGTAACTTCTACTAAGAGGAACTAGGAATGCAAAAATCATCCCAAATTGTGCACCTCGTCCTTTGTTTTCAGAGGAAAACAAATCCTTCAAGAGCTAACACTTCCTGAGCCAAGGTCAAAGATCAACTGTGTTTCTCTTGGCATTTAATTTTTGTTTGTTTCTACCTATCCGGTACAATCTTCAAGGCTTAGAACTTCCACAATATATGCAACTCAGTGCTGGTTAGCAATGTACAGTTAAGGATCCTCAGGAAATTGATGATATTGCCACCCCAAACTGTTGGAATACTTCTCCCAGAAACTTCATATAGATGTTAAAAAAGAAGCTTGAAGTACTCCACATTACAGTACTCACCTGTCCAACTTTTTCTCTAATTCTGACTAGAAACTACTACTAAGGTAGGAGTGAAAATTAAAACCATTCCAAAACAATACTTAAAACTTTCATCCCCATTTGCAGCCCCAAGGTTTTGAGTAGGTTGCTCTGGCTGATGGTGTCAAAAACCACTAAGAATTCTAAAAGATTAAGAAGGGCACGGTTCCATGCTGATAAAAGTAATCTACCAAAGTGATCAATGCTATTTCTAAAGGTAAGCCACCACTACTTTCCCACAACCTTTTCCCTGAAAGAAAAGTCAGAGACGGGAATAGTTATCCAGTATAGCTGAATCAAGAGATGATTTCTTCATCTCATCTCGTCTTAAAGAAGTATCTACCATCTCTTGGATCCAGTTATTCACATTCCTTCACCAACAAAAAGTATGCAGAAGGGACATGGATCCAGCTTATAATTGTAGCACTCATATAATAGAGAACTCTAGCAAGTTTGCTTGATCACTTAACACTGATATTACTGCAATTATTGTTTTTGATTGTATCTTATGAGACTTATCTTGCTTAAGATAACTTAAGCAAGATGCCCTCAGACAGACATCTTGGGGATCTCATCCTTTCTTTCAGATGCAACCTATGGTCATATATACTTATATCCTGCCTTAATTATTTCCTGAAAACTTTCTAGATATTTATTAAAAAATTTCCTACTGGTTTGTCTCTTCAATATATTCCATAAATTTAAGTTCTAAATATTAATATGACCTAGCTTGAAACATATCCAAATATCCCAAGCACTTAGGCCAACATATTTTTTTCCTAGAATGTATTTGCTGATTTTCTACATAATACACAACCAACCTTTCCCAAGATTTACTAGAACTATATAAAAACATAGCTCATAAGCTACAACCATTACTAACACATGACTGGAACTTCTTAGTTAAGAGGCCCTGTATCTCCTCCAAACCATGGTTTGACAAGGATTGTGTTGAAGCCAAGCAAGCTCTCACTTTGGCCTATAAGGTACAAAAGCAAGTCTGGGAATGGCAATAAAACAACTCTTAAAATATCTTACAATCAAAAAACAATTGTTAAGAACAATTGATTGCTCTTAAGAAGAGACATGACACAAGGTCCTCCTGGGAACAGCTTATTGTGGCAGCAAAGCAAAAGAAGTCTCTATTCTAGTGTCTAATAGCTAGTCACTGTGACAAAATTGATGCCACATTAGATGCCCATTATATGCCATATACCTCCTACAACTTAGGAACTTTACTTTCGGAAAATTATGAAGAACCCCCCCCGCCCCCCGGCGAGAGTATAAGGTATATAATGAAGGATTTACCTGGATGGCCCCCAGTTTCAGAGTCCGAAATGAAATCTCTCATTGGCCAACTCAGGACTAGGAAAGCCCCAGGAGCTGACTTCATTTCTGCTGAATTTTAAAGAACAATTTGGAGCGGTGGATACCAGTTCTGGTGGCACTTTCACTTATATTGACTGCACTGCCCATGTTCCAGAAGATTGAGCTTGGCAATTGTCCCAATTTTTAAAAAGGGAAAGAAAGATGACCCTGCCAATTACAGACCAATAGGTCTGCTAAATATAATCGGCAATCTCTAGGCCAAAGATAAATTAACTCTACCTCCAAGATAAAGGAGTGGCTGGATCTTGAGAATTTGATTGCTAAAGAGCAATCATGGTTTAGAGAGGGGAGAAGCACCATAGCTCAGTGCTTAGTTCTCCATCATATGTATGAAAAATATGTATCAAATAGACCTGTATCATTATTGATACTTTATTGTATCAATTATTGACACTTTATTGATCACAAGGCAGCCTTTGATACGGTTACCAGGACTAAGCTATGGGAGAAATTATAAGCTGCGTCAATTGACTATAGGCTTCTTCATTTATTATGTGCCTTACATACTAAAATATCAAGGTGAGGTATAATATGCAAGGGTCCCTCTCAAAGTCAGTCAAAACTCAAAAGGGGGTTAAACAGAGGTGCATTTTGGCCCCCTTGATTTTCAACTTTTATATAAGTGACAGAATCCGACCAAACATAGGTGAGGTCTCATATTAAGACTTACCTAGTGGCGATAAAAGCGGCAAAATGTAATCATCAGATAATCGCCCAGCCGCACTCTTTAGGGTGACCTGCTCCCTACTCCATCCGGGAGTGCGTGAGGACCCCTTGGAGGGCAGGGCTGAGGATTTTGTGCAGTATCTGTATGACAAAATCGCTCAGATTCAGGAAGGCTTGGACTCTGACTGGTAGATGCAGGTGGGGTGATGGAGGCAGGTCTTGAGAGTGTTATCTGGGAGGAGTTTGGCCTGGTGACCCCCGAAGACGTGGACAGGATTCTGGGTAGACTTAGCACGGCCACATGTTTATTGGACCTGTGTCCCTCCTGGTTGGTGCTGGCTTTCCGGGAGGTTACACGAGGCTGGCTCCAGAGGATTATCAATGCTTCTTTGAGTGAGGGTTACTTTCCCGCCGCCTTGAAAGAGGCAGTGGTGAGGCCCCTCCTCAAGAAGCCCTCCCTGGACCCGGTTGTTTTAGCAAATTATCGTCCAGTCTCCAACCTCCGCTTCGTGGCGAAGATTGTTGAGAGTGTGGTTGCGCGACAGTTCCCCCAGTACCTGGATGAAGCGGTTTATCTTGATCCGTTCCAGTCGGGCTTCAGACCTAGGTAGAGCACGGAAACGGCATTGGTCGCATTGGTTGATGATCTCTGGAGGGCTCGGGACAGGGGTTGTTCCTCTGTCCTGGTCCTATTAGACCTCTCAGTGGCTTTTGATACAATCGACCATGGTATGCTGCGCCGGTTGGAGGGGTAAGGGGTGGAGGGCACCGTGTTGCGGTGGTTTATTTATTTATTTATTTATTATTAATCAAATTTCTATACTGCCCTACTCCCGAAGGACTCAGGGCAGTGAACAGCCAAGATAAAATACAGATAATACAAATATTAAAAATCCCTTAAAATTATTAAATATTTAGGCCAAAACACAGATTAAAACATCCAATTTATAAAATCACGAATTAAAAATTTAAAAGAGGAGAGTTAGGCCAGGCCAGCCTGCTGAAATAAAAAAGTTTTGAGAGCACGACGAAACGTGCGCAGGTCCGGGATCCTCTCTATCTCTGGGGAGAGCTCGTTCCAGATATTAGGTGCCCCCACAGAGAAGGCTCTCCCCCTGGGGGCCGCCAGTCGACACTGTTTGGCCGACGGCACCCTGAGGAGCCCCTCTCTATGGGAGTGTACTGGTCGGTGAGGCTATTGGTAGCAGAAGGCGGTCTCATAAATACCCTGGTCCGATGCCATGGAGTGCTCTAAAGGTGGTAACCAAAACCTTGAAGCGCACCCGGAAGACCACCGGGAGCCAGTGCAGCTCGCGCAGGAGGGGGGTCACATGGGAGCACCACGTCGCTCCCATAACCACCCACGCAGCCACATTCTGGACCAGCTG